AGTAAATTATATTGCCTAGAACAGGATCTTACTCAGCTTATATCAGACTCTTAGTTGACCTGAAACTGATTGCCGGTGCCTCTAACTTAAAAAGAAACGCAAAGCTATAATGATATGCCATAAACACTGCAGGTGTTACGACTCATTAGGCCCAAGACGCATTTGTCAACGGCCCCGTTTCCCAAAGTACACGTTTTTTATTAACGCCAATTCCTCGAAGTCTAATGAGTGTAATTTTTCTCCGGCCGCGGGCTTTCCTTTTTCCACTTGCGTAATATGTTACGAGTGTTTATTTCTCGCTGAGTGCAGTTGCGTGTGGCGAATGGTCCTCGCGGTCGATTGAATCGTAAACATCTCATTCTTACTATATTTACTAATATTATAAAGCTATAGCGAATATCCTTCAGCTTTTGTTTGTTTGAACCCGCTAATTTCAGAAACTGGTATTACAACTTGAACATTTATTTTGTATTGGTTTGAGCCGGCATCGAGCTTAAGGTTTTAAGGCCATAAACATCACGCTGCACCTGCTAGAGGCGGTAGAAAAATGCAATAAATCAAAACAAGGAATCCTCTTAAAAAACGGTTTAAAAAATGTCCGCCACAGTGTATATATGTCTTATAGCTTTGAAGATTGTCCTGCAAAAACGACGGGACGCTGACGACGTGGATAACAGCTAGTGTACTAGGGTCCACCTGAAAATAAGTGTAACGTCTTGTGCCGTACTTTGCTAATGGCGGACCCTTTTTGATATCTGAGACCTACCGAACCTTCGTTCGCAACGAGTAATTTTTGACCATAAAGTTGAACTGGACCACATATCACTAGTGACTAGACTATCACAGGCCTCTTAGCGTTTTTATACTTAAAGACCTAGCTAGCTATAACTAGTCTAGGAATTTGAAATATAGGAAAAGAAATTATGAAAACCTGTCCCAACTGTAAGAAAACTAATATTCTTCCAAACCTCCACTCCAAGCGGATTTTGACTAACCTTTCAATACGGTTGAATGGTTTCAAGTCTCCTTAAACATATGACGCTAGTCTCCCTCATGTCTATTTCGAATCTCGACACCCACATTTTTGCACCCCGTCTACGTACATCTGCGTCATCTATGACTACCCTTATGAGAATCGTTGAAATTGCACTCAGAGCTTTTAGTCTAATAATCTACTATTTGTTTTTTTTTTTTAATAAAGATCTTGGTAGAATTATTTTTTATTTTGACGTGCTCGTTGTTGCCATGTCCGGCTAATAATTAACGGGCGCGATCACCACCGAGTCCAACATTTTTCACATCAATTTATAATTGTTCTGAAACATGTTGAACTTTGGAAATCTGGAAATTGAATGAGTGGTCACCCACCCTCCACAGATGTAAAATCCGTGAAGTTTCATCTCGTTTAGATTTCAGTCTGTGGATTCACGAATGTCCAAATCCAAAAAGGTCGGCATCGCATTTTGCTTAGATGTTATAGGCTGGATTGTTTCACCTGTCATCAAGAGAACCCGATGTTTGTCCTTCTCTTTCATAAAAAAAATACGTCTCTAACGAAATATTTTTCCAAAAAACCTCAATAAACATTATTATCTGTTTTCAAAATTACATGAAAGAATACAAATGACGGCTCAAAGTTGCGTACGTATTACATAAATACTGAATTGTTCTATAAATAAAGAATAAAAGTAAGAGTATGGGAAGCCATATACATAAAGCCCCTATTACTAAAACTTATAGCACCTACATTTATTTTGACTGATTGACAAACATAGGGTACATTAAGTGGAAGGCAAAATATCCCACATAAGTTGTCGATCTATTTTCATTTTGAATATTCAGAAATAAAATACTGTCTATAGTTTATGCGAGTAGTACACATTTAAATAAAACACTTTAACGGTTTAAAACGCGATATATTAGTTAAACTTATTTAACAATGATTTTTAACGTCGGCCCGACGTTTCGGATGCTTTGCAGCAGCCGTAGTCACGGGGAGGCTCCATGACCAAGGCACAGTTAAATTGTTTTAATTTTAAAAATCGAAAATAAATTGAAAAAATTTGCCCGGGGCGGCACTTGAACCGGCATCGTCAGCGTTCCGTACTGTTGCTCTACCAATTGAGCTACCGGTTCAAGTCCTGCCCGAATCGAAAATTATTTTTAATTTATTTTCGATTTTTTTAATTATATAGTGCCTTCATGTGCAATAACATAAAAACAATATTAATGTTTTTAAAGTGTTTTATTAAAATATTCGGAAATTTACAAAATGAAACCGAAACGCGATTACATTACACAACTTTTTCATCTGTGGGCCGTTTTATACTCCGTTTTACAGGAAAAAGTCCAACATGTTTCAAAAGAATATTAAATGATTGAAAATATATTAGACCACGTGGCGATCGAACCCACGATACATTAGACCATCGAGACTTAGCTAAAATTAATAAAGAGAAATTCTTTAGTTGCAAACACAGTCAAAGTGTGAAGTATTACAAAATCAGTATTCCAAATTTGAAAGTAGATAGAATCACGTGATCCTAACGACTTGCGTCTAACTTCATCCATCACTCTAATCAAAGGGCTATTAGAAGGTACAATAGCACGTTAATTCGTAACCATCGCTCACTAACCGGTGACTAACAAATCTCGCTTCGATTGATCCTAGATTAGGACGCGATCTATCTCAGGTGACGCCTTCGCCTATCCGATGGTGTAAGACTTTGATCGATGTTTACTTTTTGTAGATCAGATTGGCTTAACATTTTTCGTAAAGGTTTTTCGTTCATCTGTGCAAATAAGTAATTCAATTATTTTAACTTACCTATAATTGTGTTAAACATGAGTTTTTAATATAAAAACAGCTAAAATGATCAGGCACAGCTTAAAAGAAGCGATTGTTACCTCTTATACTTCTTCAAGCCGACCTAAAGAATTTAAGATCGTAAAATAAAGGGAGGAAATCGAGCGAAATATACCTGAAGCTGAAAAGATGCCACGGAATTAGTTACAACTAGAAAGGCGAAGTTCTTACTTTAACAGACAGATTTCAACTAATATAATTAAATACTATCTGTAGTTTACGAGAGTAGTACATATTTAAATAAAAAAAACTATAACGGTTTAAAACGTTTATATTATTTAAATAAAACAGTTTAACGGTTTAAAACGCGATATATTAGTTAAACTTATTTGAAAATGATTTTTTACTTCAGCCCGACGTTTCGGATGCTTTGCAGCAGCCGTGGTCACGGGGAGACGTTTATACTAGAAGACGGGGGAGTCTCCCCGTGACCACGACTGCTGCGAAGCATCCGAAAAGTTGGACCCTAGTGAAAATATAAAGTGTTATATTTTAATATACAATTAAATGCAAAGGTTTCTTAACGATACACTTGTACCTAAGAAACCTTCGCTTTATTCTAACATAACATTTTCTATTTCAGGTAAGCTATTTAGAATTGATAGATAGCCCGTTTTCATTCAATTTATTAAATGTTCAGCTAACGAAGATATCTTATGTTAATCTTTGAGAACTAATTCTGTGTTGATCCAATTTTATCGGTGGGTTGTTGATATATCGTAGTACCAATCGTAAATCTGAAGCCGCGAAATAAATTATTTAAAACCAATAAAAGCAGGCTTTTACGGAAACGGTTTTGTTTAATGGTAATATTTATCAGCCACGAAGCAATTTGAAATTGAACTTTTAGAATTCTCATTTTGTATGACATTTTAAAATTTCTACTTATTAGAATTATTGTTTATATTTGTTTGCTAAAATAAAATATGGTTTGTGTTATTATATAAATAATACAATATTTTAGATGTTTCTGTGTATTTGATTGTACAAAGTATATTGCATAAACAATTTTTTATCAGTTTAAGAGATATTGCGACAATGAAATAATAAATATACAAATTAACTAATTTAATATATTTATTTTATGAAAGGAGGCGACAAAGGGGTTTACTTGATGGTAGATGAAACACTCCAACTATATAACATTTAGACAGATATGCTGTCGACCTATTTTGGATTTGGATATTGGAAACGCGACAAATCCTGTGGACGGTGGTTCGTGACCCGGACGGACTTTCAATATTCCTACCACCCATTTAATATCCTTTTCAAGATTTTCAAAGAATTATATTGGACCCCGTGGGGTTCGAACCCACTACCTGTCAACGAGCCAGTCAACGAAAAATCATGATACAGTAGTTAGAATGTTTACCTATGTCAAAATTTGACATAAATTTATTCAAGTAAATACAAATTGATTTTTAAAGGACTTGAAAAATTATCTGGTAATAAAAGTAAAATCGCAGAATAAAAGAATTACTCGTAATGATCACCAATTCTCAGTATCTATAACCCTGACAATGTGCATCCTCCAGAAATGTATTTGCAACACGATCATTATTATTAACAATGAAACCACTGTGCAACACACTCAACTATCTGTGACCAACTTGGGTACAAATTGACATGAATCCCTCCATAGATTTATAAAAGACATTGTTCTTAGCATCTTACAGTCATTTGTTCAATACTGTCTGTAGTTTACGCGTGTAGTACACATTTAAATATAACACTTTAACGATTTAAAACGAGATATGTATTAGTTAAACTTATTTAAAATTATTTCTATTACGGCGCGACGTTTCGGATGCTTTGCAGCGGCCGTGGTCACGGGGAGACTACAGATAAGGTGCCTCTAATGTCAAAGTAAAAGCTGCGACGCTAGCGCCATCTGTTCCGTCGTTGTTCGTCAAATACCGGTTTAATTTTTAAATAAGTTTATATTTCACTTTTTAAACAGTTAAAGAGTTTTGTTTAAAAATTATTTGTTCAGCTTAGCTTAGTTAAATATACTTTATCTTTATTTTAATTCCAATTACAACATGTTATAGTTAGTTACTGTGAAATTTAATTTTAAATTCTATAACTATCGTAATTAAATTAAGTGTTTAAAGTGACGTTAAAACCTGTCACTATGTGTGCAGTTTATGGTACATTTCTGTGTATATGTATTTGTGTACTGTTTAGTCTGAAGACAGCGAAATGTAATCCCATTACGAACTCCAATTTCAACGAGAACATCAGGGAATTTTCTTTGAAGGAGGATAATGTAAGTTATAGAAGAGGGATTATTGTAGTCAAGACATTTCTGATGTTAATATTAGGCTAACAGCTGCAAGTTTGTTAAGTAATTTTATTGTAACTATATTTGAACATTTACAATATGAAAAATTAAAATAAATATTCAATATTTATTCCTAGAACAACATCAGTGTAGTGTTATCTTTATTTTTCCATACTGTTTTTATTGAAAATAAATATAAAAGCTAAACTATGAGAGTATGAACGTATTAAGTAAAATTCAAGAAGAGAAAACATTTTTTGGGAAAACTAGAGTTAAGGAACAACTCTTAATTCTAATTTTCCCAAAAAAGTAATAAGAAGCCATTTGTTTTCATGTGTATTTGTATTGATTAGAAAAATTTTGAGAATCGAACCCGCGACTCGGCTACCTTTGTATGTAATTGAATGATATATTCCTTACCTCGAAGTAATAAAGTACGATGTAAGAATATTAAAACAAATCAGTTTTAGAATAACACAGTAAAATGAATAGTTCCTTCATTTCAGTGTGTTATTCTGGAATTTAATATCTATTATTAATAATAACTGGTTTATTTCAGAATTCCACAGCTAAAACATTGCTCAAAGGCGGATTCGGACGGAACGCTAATTTTGCCCCGCCTGCTAATCCAGCAAGAATTAAGGTAGGATTTCTTGATCCTTTGAAGTGAATATATAAAGAAATTTATTAGTAATATTTCCAAGTGGAACGTGGCTGAATTTGTGTAAATTGCATTTAACATATCCTTGTTTATGAATGAAAATATATAAGGCTAATTTAATGTTGATGTGCATCGTTATTATATAATATATGGTTTATATGTATATATATAGGATATAGATATCAGAGGTCTTTCATGTTATGTTTATGACATTGTATTTGAACGAAGGGTTTTTTAAGTATAGAGTAGGACACAGAAGCTTGGGATTACTATCCACCATCAGGTAGGCGAAATAGCCCAGAAATCCATAAAAACCGATACTTAAACACCTTTTTCATTCGTAAGTCGTGGTCCCGGACGAAATTTGCTCCCAACCCATTGTATATTTAGACTTCCAGACGAAGTCCAATATGTTTCAGAAAACATAAATTGATTAGAAGTGTTTCCTATTGTTTCACCAACTAGCCCGTCAGGTAAACATTTTGTTACTATAAAGAAAATTTTTCTTCAAGCCAAAAGTTAAAGATTTGTCGGTTTATTACTAAAAATTCTACTCCATTTACTATATTTTAAAACTCCCGGTTTAACTTAAGATACGACGGCATAACAAGATTGTATATTGGAATCTATATCTCATAGAACACTAATTTCTTGCATAAAGCCGGAAAGTCACATTACATAATCCTAAATGACATTAAGACGCAATTATACGCTATCTGACAGTTTAATTACGAATATATATTTAGAATTCATAGCGAGTAATACAAACTAGCTCGAATACTACCCCATTATTTTAAATTTAATAAAACACTAACGGTTTAAAACGCATATATTAGTTAAACTTATTTGGAAATGATTTTTAACTTCTCGGCCGACGTTTCGGATGTTTTGCAATGCCCAGTGGGCATGATTGAAGATAGAGGTATCCTTAATGTCAAAATAAAAACTACTACGCTAGCGCCATCTGTTTCTTCGTAGTTGTTATTTGGAGAAACTGGCTACGTCCTTAAAGAACTGACTCGCGGTGTCCTCTTGTTGCATAAGTTAACTACTATGGTTCGCGTTTTAATCAAAAAGTGTTTTATTTAAATGTGTGTCTTAAACTACAGACAATATTTGATTTCGAATATTTCTGGTAGAGGCTTCCCAAGAAAAAAAAGTTATTAGTTCTTAAAACCAATATTTATAACTAAAACTGCACGACACGAAATAGAAGTCTTACAGTCCCAAAAATACATAAGTGTATTCCTCACTTTTTGTAGCGTACATCATTAACCTCTATACTTCGCCGCAGTCGAGTAAGCGAAGGTACTGAATAGAAATACAAGGCTGGTGGGAATATCGCGTGTCCCACATTCTTGATAACTTGTCGGAACGGAAACATGACTCAATGGCTGATATTCATTTATTTTTTTACCACATATCAATTAGAATGAATAATTCTCAGCATTCGATTGTATTCCGATGTTTGTTTACGAATAGCGGAATCATATATTGAATGACAACTATCGCCCCCCCACTTTGCGTGCTGAAAAGAACCATATTATCAGCGTTTTAATGTCTCACAATTGGACTCAAATTCTTAGACCCACCATGCTGTGCAAGAGCGGGTTTATGGGATACATTGTTTACTGTACTTTTGCTTTTCTTGGAAAATACCACATAACATATCATTTCACTGGAATCAGAATTTGAACCCAAGACCTCGTGATCTGCAGTGCAATGAGACAGATGTTGGTGTCAGTGCTTCTGGATTAATAAATAACGTAACAATTTTTAGCTAGTTTGTCTGTAGTTTACGCGAATAGTACACATTTAAATAAAACAATTTTAACGGTTTAAAACACGATATATATTACTTTACTTATTTTTATTAAAAACTAATACGTTCCTGTCTCCAACTACGATGAATACAATCAATATACATCTAAATATGTGTTTGCCAACTGGGTATACGGCATCTTACCAGCTCTTTCCCTCACAATAGATCCCGCATTCAGATATAACTTTCCTTCAACTCGAAATACCTCACAAGAGACTCCCATGACGGGAGTGATTTCATTGTGTCATTTTGGGTTCCCACACAGGCTTAGAAACAGACAGACCACATAGCCCTCTGTATTATCTTAAAAAATCAGGCACAATCTTCCCTATTATTTAGGATGTAGCAAATACAATAAATAAAATACTGTCTATAGTTTACGCGAGTAGTACACATTTAAATAAAACACTTTAACGGTTTAAAACGCGATATATTAGTTAAACATATTTGAAAATGATTTTTAACTTCGGCCCGGTTCGGGGCCCGGGTCACGGGGGGGAATAAGTTTAACTAATATATCGCGTTTTAAACCGTTAAAGTGTTTTATTTAAATACAATCAATATTCAAAGAACCATAATATATTATATTAAGACACAAAGTTTTACATTTAAATTATTGTAAGTTGAGTTTGTGTAATTGTTTAGAACAATCAACATCAAATCGAGAACCATTTTTCAATTATGGCGATCGAAGAGTTGGAAAACCGAAGTCCCCCGGAAAACTTTTTTTATGTTTGAGGAGGACAGAGGAGACTGGGGTTCACTCGATGGTAGATAAAATACCCCAGCCATATGACACCTAAAGATATATACGACGCGCTACACCTATTTTGGCTTTGGACAAAAAACACGATTAAACTTGATGGCTTTTTATCTGCGGACGATGGTAGGCCCGCGGAATTCCGATATTCCCACCACCCATTAAATATGCATATTTCCAGACGTCCAACATGTTTCTGATATATTATAATTTTATTAGAAAATGTTGGACGCGGTTGGGATCGAATCCACGACCCTTAGCCATACATTGCTAAAGTTTCATCGAATTGTGTAGATACGATTTTTTTTAATATTATTTCAACAATATTCATTTTAACGACTCTTGCGCCGTATTAGTGACTTAGTCATATGTAACAGAACAAAAAATATCTTCCCCGACTGACTCACTCATATTCCTAGTATCTCCAGGATTATTCCTCTCTTAACATTTCCACGTGAAGTACCAGGAAAACACGCAAAGTTAGGAGTTAAGGTGATAACCAAATACGATAATCTTTTTCATAACATACGTTTATAGATTCTGTGATTACAAAACTAAGCAAGAAAGATACGAGGTACTTCCTCATCAGCGTTTTACGTGTTAGATATCCAGGGACGTAATTATTTCGGTCGAGAAAGGCACAGAATTCAAACCATCATTTCGTCTAAATCTTTCTAAGATTAACGGCATTTTTTTATGACTACTTTTATTCTGTAAGTTTAAACATTCATATATTTAACTGTGGCCACGACTTTGTTCGTTTCGTTCGTATGAGATTTTTAAACCGTTTTCGCAGCTTACGCAATGGAGGCATTCAAAGATGATGATAATTGCTCCCGTTTTACAACATTTTCCCTCTGTTACTTTCCTCGTATTGGCCGCAGTCTAATGCAGCCTTTTATAGCCTAAACTCTAAAGCCTTCCTCGATAAATAGTCCACTAGAATAAACGCGTTTAAACAAACAATCTCTTCAGCTTTATATGTATAGATAGAAAATACAATCCCAATTACCTCTGTCCCATGCCCCCTTTGGGAAAAATCAGATCTTCATTTGTTTCAAAGGCGAAATTGAATATTCCTTAAGGATCTTCAAATAGCATTTAACCTAATTGCCCTGTCCCACGATACCGAAAACCTTAATGATATAAGGGCCACAATCGGAAGAGGCAGATTAAGTGCCGTGTGAAAGGGCAGTGTAACAGACTGTGCACCAGACCATAACTTAAGATATCCATGTATCAAATAGGAATTTTTCGTTTCAACTAATTGATATGAGGTAATTATTACACCTGTGTTCTTTAGGTACTTAGGTTTTTAGTTGAAGAAGTTTCGGATTCGATTTCCGGTTGGTAAGATGGTCGGTCTGTATGCATGAAATTACCAGTTGTAACTTAAAATATAAATAAATATTCTTTGCTAGCTCTGCCAGCGACTTCGTTTGTGTTTCTTAATATAGATATAAAGTGTCGCGGATTTTTTTAGTTCATTTAAAGATGAATCTTTAATGAAACCCACAGAGATATAGTTTTCCCCGTTTTTTCCACATTTCCCATACTATTTTTTTTTGCTTATATAGATAGCAACGTAATTTAGCGTAAATATAAGGCTGTAGGGCCTTCCTCGATACTCTGAACAACAAAAAATTTATTCAATACGTACGTAGGTATGCGTAGGTTCGAAGAAGCGCGGTCAAACAAACTCTTCAGCTTTGTAACATTAGTATAGATTTTGTGATATGTATATAAATCCTTATGATAACGGCTTTTTAGGAGGTGTCAGATAATGCTGTAGCAAGTTCCAGCCATGGCAGAGGTTATTCACACCACGAATATCCCGGTAAGATAAGTATATAAGTGATATATTTGTAAGAATCCGTGTGGGGCATGGGTCGAAAACATTGTTGTGTCCTTTAAAATTGATCGATTTTATTAAACAACGAGCTTATCCGACTACGGTACAATGTTCAATCGAAACAATCTATTGTTTCTTTTGGGATTTGAACCCAGGTCTTCTGGCTGTTTAACTATTGAGTAATGTTTGTGTCTTTTCAATTGACACATCTGCCTTGTTCATAGAAAGACGGCTTATTTTATATTTATTATAATCTATAACATTACTTTTTTACCAGTATTTACAACTAAAGCTCATAGGTATTAAGTAAATGTAAAATATAATATCATAACAGCAATATGTTTCTCCACTACTTTCATATATTTAAATAATAGGTTCTGGGTTCGAATCCCGGGGAAACAACAAATTGTTTCGGTCGGGCAGGGCACAGAAATCTGATCAACTACTTGCTTGTAAATAAAACTGATCAGTGAAACGGACACAGTAATGTGTTCGCCCTATGCCCCACGAGGGGAAACGGGATTTCACACAGATACTAACTGTAATCATATCTTAAAATATATTATTGTGTACAGGTTACGGGATATATGACCACGAAGAAACCCCATATTATGGGTATGAACATGATCACGTCCCATACGACCATGGATACAATCACCATGGCAACCATGACCACGAATTACATTATAGTGGCTATGGCCATAGGCACTATAATCATGTAAGTTTTTGTTATATATAGGTATTTATGTAATGTTCTTTGAGTAAGTACAGTTCGCATTCTTTAGGAATTTTTATATAGTAGAAGTAAATTTAAACAAAACCCCTTATAACGGTTTAAAACGTTAAATCCATTAGTTCACTTATTTGATCCACGTTTGAATGGTCGCAGGTGGTCAGTATAAGTTAATTAATATATTTTGCGTTTGAAAGTAGGTACTTAATGTTATTTATTTAAATAATTTTTCCATCTATTTCATTTTGCTTAAGTTATAAATTAAACACATTTTGAATTGACTAAATTGGTAATCATAAAGTCTCGTAAATCATCAGATACAAGTATAGGAGACAAATCCATGACAAATAATTTAAGTTGTTAATAAATGAGTGACATATTGCTAAACATTACGTACATATGTTCATATAGTTTTATAAGACTTTACAAAGCAAAGAAATAACGTGGTATTATTTTTCTGTTTACAATCAAGGAACTGGTATTCATTTATTACATTCCCAGGCATTAGCAGCTAAAGCAGTTCTATGGCCCCTAGCTGGTATAGCACTTTTAGGAGCAGCGGCTGCTTTAGTCACCAACCCTGTTCTTCTACAACTTGGAGTCGCTACCGGAAAACGAAAACGACGTGATACAGAACTAACCGCGCCAGATTTAGATATTAATTGGCCTGAAGATCTACCTAACGAATCTAAAATGTGTGTTGAAACTAAAGATTTTAAAAGCACTAAAAACATTACAAGAAGACCTTCCAAAGACCAAAGGCTAGCATCTACTATTTCCAATCCAGATAATTATGTAAAAATACCAATAAAAATAAAAAGTGATTGATAATTTTATAGAAACAAGTGTGTTTATAAAATAAAGATTTTTAAAGCACTTAATGAATATGATTGAACCATAGAAGTATTAAAAGTCCCATGACCCCTTTAGGGGCATAACCGTTGCTTCTGTATCGATTCAGAGGCTTACCAAACAGGATATTCAAACTTATGTACCCTCTGCAGTCGAAAATCATCGCTTTCGCGAAATTCGAACCCGGCGTCTCTCGAACTTTATTTAATAAACGCGGATTAAAATGAGCTACACAAGCCGTCACATAAATATTTACAAATTAATAAAATTATTTAATATAAGGTAGCACATAGCTTAGCTTCGTAGACATAAAAAAAAATATTCTTGTGTTAAATGGAATTAGTTCGTGGTCGGTATATAATGTGTTCTATACTGAGTTTTATGTACACGCTACTAAAAACCTATGTCTGTAAATAGTATGACATACGGTTTGTATATGTATCTAAAAAGATAAATATTTCAGACAAAACGAGTATCTATTTATTCTACCGGGATCTTTAATTATTTACATTTATGAATACTACCTAATATGTAACATAGTAATACCTAATAGTGATTAACGGTTGATAAATCGATTAGAAACAAGTAAAAAATACCTAATTCACGTTATACCTATAACGACAGCAATAAAAATTGAAAGATAAGCAAATAAATATGCTCATTTATTTCACTCACCGTCTAGAAAACGTGCATCAGAAAAATACACTAAGAACTATCACCAGATAACTAATTATAACACTAAAAACTGACACAATATAACGTACACAAAACAGTTTTTGATAAAACACATTTCGTTTGGAAAGAAATAAGTTGTTTTCGTCTGCCGTTCCGAACTTAACTGCTTTGAATGAAGTTGCTTACCTATTGACCTTTCGATGTGTGCGTACGCGCAGTAAAAACTTGCTCTCACGTTAAGCGTGTGAGAAGCGTTCGTGTTGTATATCAATAATCAATAGCGTAGGGGAGAATGCATTGTTTTTGTACTAGACAGTAATCAATATAACAGTGGTTTAAGATAAATAGATAGATATACACCGCTACACAACACTTAAGTACTTTTAAGCCACAAATTCTCTAAAAACCGTCCGTTCTTTATTATTTTTTTAAATACTCATCGAATCAAAACGCGAAATATATTAGTTAACCTTATTTAAATAAAAATTGCTACTTTGACATTAGAGACGCCCTCCTATCACCACAGCTGATGCAAAGCATCCGATACGTCAGACGGTAGTTTACAAAATATGTTTTTAATAAGTTTAACTAATATATTTTCCGATACTACAGACACGATATATATTATAATGACATATTATTTGATTATAATAAAATAATTTTCGCATTTCTTATTGTAGCGATATATGGCTATTAATCAACTGTCGTCCCTTTCGGATCAAAACCACGCCACAGCGAAACATGTTTATAATAAAGTTGAAAAATTTCTGAAACATGTTGGACTTCGTATGGAAATCTAGATATGGGTGGTAGGAATATCGGAAATTCCGTCTCGGTGACCAACGACCGTCCATAGATTAAAAGCCCTAAAGTTTAATCGCGTTTCGATATCAGTCTGTAGTGAACACACATGTTTGTCTGTCTTCCTCTATTATAAAAAGAAAGGTAAAAATCAAATCTGTAATAACTTTAATTAAAAGGATTGTTTATAACTGAATAACCTTCAACAATGATTAACGACAATTTTAATATTTTTTAAATAACTTCTACGGTAAAACAATTTCGTATCATACATACACATTATATTATTTTGTTTTATTCGTCAATACATATTTTTAGCGTCATCTATTGACATCTACTTGGAACTATTACGATAACACGGAACCAATAACCGTTGTATATTCTGAACTTGATGTAACACGTATCATTAACATTTAGTTTCTATATAAAATTCTAGATGTCGTTTTTGTAAATAGATTTGTAATTAGGGTTTTTAGCAAGTGGATAGAGGATTTATTCAGTGCATTTGTATAAAGTGATCTTTTGTCTGTAATATATCGTTCCTACTAATTTAGAGAGTTTTTGTAGACCCACCACGCTGCTTTAGTGAGAATTCGGTGCGGAATAATAGGTTAACTATCGTTACAAAATTACTTAAAAAAACATGAGGTAAGTTACTGATATAGGTACAACTTCTTCTATATCAACATAAGACATGTTATACAAAATAAAAATAATTTTAAAATTAATTTGAAGAAGTTTTTGTAGATTACATACCTAGTCGCATGTAGGTAGGTATGTAGCCGGCGTTTTATTTTTGGAAATTCTCAAATTTTTTGCTTTGCACACATTTTAGTACAATTTAGTTCTTATACACCATTTATTTGTTATTCGTTTTATTTATATTAACATTAATATAGTTTGTACTTCGGTTAGTTTACTTTGATTTGTTACCCCCCCGGAGGACCTCTCCCTTTTCAAAAGCACACTATGTAAGAATTATTAAGCCAACATTTTTAAATGTTCGTAAAATGTATATTCCATGCTTGTATGGAATAAATGTTTTAAGTTTGACATTTCTCTCTTTCATCTCGTAAACTGTTTGGGACTGTAATTTGATATAAAAATAGAAATAAAAAATAATATTGCATTATGTTTATATTTAAGAGAGTGGAGCATTGAAATATGTACACACTTGTATATAGCTATGTATTTCCTTATACTTTGAACCCGTACTGAAACAAATACATATAAAATTACAATTTGTTAACTTGTACATAAAATTAATTTAACTTGTACTATTACATAGTATATAAACAAAATACAGACTGCTATTATCTTTATACTTATTTATATACTATTAGTGTAAGTAGCAAGCATTTTTTTAAATTAACTAATTCTATTAGAACAAAGAATTACTGAATTTATAATATTGAAATCAAGATATTGAATGGGTGGTAGGAATATCGAAATACCGTTCGTCACGAACCACGTCAACAGATGAAAGACTGGAGAACTTACACGCGTTTCGATATCTGTATATTTTCGATAATATACAAAGCCAATATGGGTGACCTTCCATCAAGTGCTTGCCTTGCCTCTTCTATAGAAATAAGTTAATTATTACACATTTACCTTAGCTGCGTTTTTAATTGAGCATTTAAACATCAAGGCAGCTCTTTCACACCCTTTATCGCCGTCGCCAACTTTTTCGTAATTTACTGAAAACATATGGCATTATATTACAGCGAAAGCTTCTTCAAAAAGAAAAGCCAGGAGTAAACGTAGAAAAGAAAGCACTTATAACGTACGTAACGTAATATGTATATGTGTTACTTATAAACTTTATTTTTTATTTTAACTAGATGCTTTACAGCAGCCGTGGTCACTCTCAGAAGTTAACTTATATACTCCGCGATTAAACCGTTAAATGTATTTTGTTGCAATATGTATTACTCGCGTCAAATAGAGACAATACATAAAAGTCTATTCACCTAAACCGAACATGGTCTATAATAATGGTGCTAATGTCGAACAAAACAATTTAATACAAGCTCAGGGATTTTGACATTTTACTAGATAGCGTTATCTAAGGTTTTCACTTACCTGTCGCACATAAATCGGCAAATTCCTTGGCTCTTTTTATTCTCTTTTCTTCTCCTTTTAAGTTCTCCTCAGCAAACTTATATGCCCCTGCCACATCGTACATTCCTTTAGCGTCCATCTGTGACATTGCGATAAAACTCATATTTTTCATAAGGACTTAAAATTGTATAGATTTAACTAGTTATACATTGAAGTGAAAGAACTTTTATGAAATAAGTAGCTTTATGGTTTAGCATTCCATTAGGCACAAAGTGTCCTGGTTAGGCACAGCACACAAGTGTCATCAACTTCTTGCCATATACAATCGATCAGTGGCACAGACACAAAAGTGTGTCTGCCCTGGACAAACATTAGACGTTACTCACAGTTCCCTTCTCACGATAAGCACAAGCGAGGATACATTTAACTTCTGGATCAGTCGGTACGGTCAGAGTAGCCAAAGAAAGGAGGTCTTGCATGTTCGCTTTGTAATTTTTTGAACATTTGATGACTGTCTTTGAAAAGTCCGCTTTTATTTCTTCATCAGTTAGTGCCTAAACATATTCGAGTACAATATATACTGTTGTTCGTTCGGTTATCACTTCGGTTACTGATGGAATCGGTTAAACTCTGATAAAATTTGTGCTTTAAAAAATCCACGTACTTGCTCATATAACTACAATGTCTCTATGGCGTCTCTGCAGGTATGCGAAGTTTTTAATATCAGTTTTATTATAGGAATCTTAACCAAATTAATTTTAAGAACATGACATTGTATAACTACTAGAATACATTTTTATTAATATTTATTTGGATTGGTAGCCGTATCTCATTAAAATACTTAACGGTTTAAAACGTGAAACGTATGAGTTAGCTAGCGTAGCAGATGAACTTCACATTAGGGACACCCTCCACCTTCATCCCCCCGTGAACACGGCTGCTGTTAAACTTTCGAAACGTCGGGCCAAATTAAAATAAACAGTAAATAACTCAACTAAGACATTTCGCGTTTGAAACCGTTAACTAAAATCGTTGGAAAAATATTTGAACTATGACATTAATAATAAATATTTTCCTTAATTTAAACACACTAACCTCACAAACTTTGCAATAAAGAAAAAAATAAATAAAAAAATAAAACATCGTTAAACACTTGCGAAGCATAGCCGAAGCTTAGATAAAACAGAATATCATTGAATTTATATATCCCAAATCGCTATCGTCAAAATCTAAATTGATATAATTTCAAAATTGACATATTGTTGTATGTGCCTATTTAATTAAGATAATAATCAATCTAAACGCTGTATCGTATTAATTTAATAGCCTAACATCAGTAACAATGAAACAAAGAGAATATATCAAAATATTTTATTTAATACTTTTATATTATTGTGTACACTACTGTTCCTCTGTGTACCTCTTTCTATACAGATATATACTTGAAGGGTCTACATCCCAGCTAAAAGTTGAAGCCAAACTGAAAAGCATTTATAAGATCATTCATTAAGTAAATATTTAAAGTTAAAAAAAATACAACTAAAAAAGGGCATGTGCAGATTGCTTTATTAAGCATGAAAGTCCTAAGTTCGATTTTCGGAGAATTACGATACATTATTATTTTTGGGATATGAAGGTTTGATTGTCTAATAATTAGACTCTAATTTAGGGAAACGTCACGATGATAATGATGTCGAGATATTAAAACAAAATTTTACAAACAGTGAAAACCAAAAGCTTTACTATTTTTTCACATATTATTGTCGTTTTTAGAAGGACTCGGTAGCTCAATTGGTTAGAGCAACAGCACGGAGCGCTGTAGATGCCGGTTCAAGTCCTGCACGAGTCGTATTTTTTTTTTCAATTCATAATCGATTTTAAATTTTTATAATTTTTAACTTACCTCTGCAGCCTTTTCAGTACTGCATTTGAACATTAAGGCAGCTCTTTCACAACCCTTGTTGCCATCGCTAACTGCTTCGTCGTTAACTAAAATTAAAAATAAATTAATTAGTAGTTAAATACTGTCTATAGTTTACGCGAGTAGTACACATTTAAATAAAACACTTTAACGGTTTAAAACGCGATATATTAGTTAAACTTATTTGAAAATGATTTTTAACTTCGGCCCGATATTTCGGTTAATGTGCAGTAGCCGCGGTTAAGACAGTTTAGAGTTGAACTAATATATTTTGGCGTTTTAAACCGTTAATTTAAATACATTTCTACTACGAAACATACAAGTCCAATATTTTTTTTATAATACAAAACATTATTTACCAAATTTGCAAGCCTCAGTGAAATCTTTAGCTTTTTTCAAACGCTCTGGATCATTCGCTAAATACGTCTCAGCTAATTTATTTGTGCCTTCGACTGATAATAAGCCATCTTCTGACATCTGATAAAAAAAATAAATACATATCTATTTAGAATCGCAGAATTCTTGAGCTTCCAATCCTCCCTATAATATAAGATACTATATAAGCTTGCCTTATATAGTATCTTATATATATAACTTCAGGGATAATTAATACTAGCTGTGCCCGCGACTTCATCCGTCTGGAACAGTATTTGGGCACATTTGTTTTAGCAAACATCATCCCTCATATTTATAAATTTTAACTGTTACCCACGACATCCTTCGCGTCCCGTAATCTTAAAAGTTCTTTAATTATTTCCGAACCATTTTCGCGACGCACGAAACAGAAGACCTAATAAATAAATTAATTTCCACGCCTGTTTCTTTACACCTATTAGTCGCATCACGATGTTTTATAGTCTTGAGTTTTCCTCGATGAAGGGGCCAACCATCACAAAAAAAATTTTTCAGTTAGAACCAGTAGTTTCTGAGATAAGCGCGTTCAGACAAACAAACGCTTCAGCTTTATAACATAAGTAGATATATGTAATATTTCACATATTCCTATAATGTATCCGGCTTCGAGTGGCATAATTTAGTGGAAATCCTAATCGGGTTTGCTCATCCACTGTGAAGCAAGTAATTGCCCATTTAATAGACCTTGTTCATTTCGACCATAGAAGAGAGAAAAAAAGCAATTCATTCAATTGAATTATCTAGAATTTTTTTTCCCTGCGTTAATTGTTGTTCCGTCACTGGTCTTAGGATCTAATAGCGCTTTCATTGTATGTAGTATATATTTAATTACTGTCTGTAGTTTACGCGAGTAGTACATTTTAATAAAACACTTTAACGGTTTAAAACGCGATATATATTAGTTAACATATTTGGCAGCCGTGGACACGAGGACACTCACTAAGTTTAACTAATGTACATCGCGTTTAAACCGATAAAGTGTTTTATTTAAATGTAAAAATTTTTGTTTCATATAATGAAGCTGGGCTTTTGCTTAGTGGGTATGTATTAATTACCAACTACCTACTTAATATTTTAACTGCCTTATTGTAATAATTATTTTTTTAATGTAATATATATCTTTTTTTTATTTATATTTTTTTTGGAATAAACGGTCGGTGTAATATAAATCCTTTTAGAATCTCAAATTTAAACCATTTAAAATTGTTTTGGGTAAAGTGGTTTCATGATTACTTACAACACCAGACTTCTTATAGGCACACGCGAAAAGACATTTCACAGATTCCTTGTCCGGCATCTGTCGGGTCTTCAGTTGTTCTATATCTGTAGGATCTATAGGATACTCTTGCGCACAATCCATGATCATTTGCGCATATTTCTGTTTTAGTTCTTCTAAGTCATCACACTGAAATAATCAAAATATTTATTTGGACTTAAGATTCAAAAACTTATACCTCTTCTTTTTATAGTTATTATTTTTGATAAAAATATTTTAGAGATTTCTGCTCTATCGTAATTTGTAACAATATTAGATTGTATGAGATAGTTTTTTTCGTCCCAGGGTCTAAAAAAAGGGTCTTAATAAACAGTAAGGCAATTTATAATTTTAGTATGGACTTCAAGTTATCTTCGAGTCAATCTAACATAATAATACATACTTAAAAGAAAATATTTTAACATAACTTTTTTCAAACTAACCTTAACAAATATCGACGATGCAATAAGAAATAACACGGTGTAAAAAGTAAACATAGCTACGCTTAAACAGTAAAAACTTGCGACTGAAATGTGAAAATGTGTTATAAAAAATAATATTTATATAGCAGAACGGCTGTTATTATAATTTAACACAATAGAAATAAAGCATATTGCTCTAAACGGTAATAAAATGGAAATATAAGCTTTATTGTTATTATGTTACGTCACAGTTTCGATAAAACTGCAACGGTCGCATGGGGAAATAACTCATTATCGACAACAAAAAGTCCCTTAATAAACATCCTTTGGAAAATATGAGTTTCACTCTAATAACATATAATCTCGAAATGTTAGTCCTTAACAATGAAATGTTATAGCGTGTGAAAAAGTTGTCATCGTTTTTAATTATGGCTAGTATAGGATATTTGTTCGTTTCATCTATCGTTATTAGATCCCATAGCTGGGCAGATGTCTACTGTATCGTAGAAACCTAATTATGATAATGCATTCTACTACAAAATCTACTTCTATACTAATATAAAAAGCCGAAATGTTTGTTTGTTTGAAGGCGCCAATCACAGGAATTACTGGTGGGAATTGAAAAATTATTTTTGTGTTAGTTAGCATTTATCAAGGAAGGTTATATAGGCTACGCTGCAAAAAATGGTTCAATAATACCCAAATAATATTTATTAAAGAAACTAAAGATCACGTTGCAAAAACAACGGGACGCGGGATGTAAAGAAGATTCGCAATAACAATTTTTCTTGCCCAAAATAACTATTCTAAACGGACGAAGTCGCTGGCACGGCTAGTACTTACTATTTAATTACGCCCTGGCGTTTCGGATGCTTAAGCCGTTAAAGCATTTTCATTTATAAGAATTAGGATTACACTTCATTATTACAAATTACCTGAAATCAAGTTGTTGCGGATATCCCCTCACATCTCGCTACCTCATTAAGGCAAGTTACCAATGTCAAAGTCGAAAATCACCAAATAATGTCACTAATTTATCACGATGATATTCAAATCCCAGCTATATATACTGTATTCGTTTCCAAATTGCACATTATACGTCAAACTGTCAAAAAGGTGGTTTAGAATTTTTCAAAAATGTTCGCGAAAATATCGTTGATTGTTTTACTGTACTTAAATTTAACTTCATTTGGTACATATGTAAGTGTCGTTTTTTATCTCTTTATAATATTGAAGGCTGATATTCAATAACATTTTGATAGTAAAAAAATAATCAAAATACATTTCTTTGACAAATCGGAACTGCAATTTTGTGTTGCAATCACCACAATTGAAAACTATAATATTTTGCACACGATGACTCGGTAGCTCAATTGGTTAGAACAACAGTAGGGAACGCTGACGATGCCTCTCCAAGTCCTGCGCAAGATTTTTAATTTATATCACCACATTTTATCAAAATCTACTCTCTAAGCAAAAGCCTACCTAATAAATTGTTTTTTTTTTTTTTTTTACTAGGTAGGCTTTTACAATAAATGTATGACACGGTCGGGATTCAAACCCGCGCGTTTTGTGCTTGCACCACTTTGAACATTCAATTTAAAATGGCACAATTAATTAATAATTGCAATATCTATATTAATTAATTCGTTTAATGTTATTGATCAGTTTAGTTAACGAGTAACTTAGTCCTGTATATTCGAATATTGCTTTTCAGGGCATGACAGCAGAACAAAAGGCAATGATTCATGCCCATTTCGAGAAAATAGGCGCCGACTGTATTAAAGAATACAAGATATCTGTAGACGACATCAAAAGTTTGAGGACGAAGAAAATGCCGACCGGAGAAAATGCGCCGTGTTTTCTTGCCTGTATTTTGAAAAATATTGGAGTTGTGAGTATTCTAATAATTTGTTATGAACCAAAATCTTCTGTCAAGAAGATCTTGGTTTGGTTGCAATATCTTAAGTCAAATAAGATATTTATCCCCTTGGGATAATATTCCCAATCATTACTTTGCCTACAAGCATGAAAGTGGAGTTATTTTATTTAATGTCAAAACATCTTACTTAAATCAAACCTTTTAAACGTCATTTAACGTATTCTTAAGTTATTATAACTACGGCCCAATGATTCAAATCCGCAGCAGCCGTGGTCACGGGACGTCGGGCCATAGTAAAAATAAATAACTTAACGAATATATTTCGGGTAATAATCTATTTAAATCTGTACGTGCGTAAACTTCAGATATTATAATCATTGTCCGAATGTAAACGTAACCCGCGTTAAGATGTTGTATCTCAACAAATGAACATTTCCCAGACTTTACTAGATGTATAAATTTCGTTCCCGTGCAGCCATGTTTGTTACCTGATCTTACTAAAGTAGATGTCATTTGTTTTTGGATGTAATTGAAATACGTCTATTTATTAAGAATCAAATCTGGATCTTCCATTCCCAAGATCGGATCCTAGTCGATATATAGCTGTCATTTACTAATCGCTAGACCCTTTGCGTCAATAGATGGATGACAAGGGTATGCTCCAAAAGGAAACAGTGATGGAATTAGCCAAGAAAGTGTTTAATGATGACGAGGAGTTGAAACTTATGGAAGACTACCTCCATTCTTGTTCTCATAGTAAGTGGGATTCTGCTTTATCTAATATGAACGGTTTTTTTTATTACCAAGGAGGATAGACAAGCAACATTTGATACAAGGCGAAACCTCAACCGTACAACATCTAGTGAACACAAAGAAACGCGAATATACTTCACAACACGTAGGTCTGGTTCGAGGTCCGGAAGGAATTTCGATATTTCTTACCAGCCCTTCAATATTCAGATTTTAGATGAAGGCACTTAGTAAAATTATAAACTACCTTTGATGGGCTCATTGGTCTAATTGTAATGTATGGCTAATAAACAACAGGTCGTGGGTTTGATCCTCAACAGGTCCAATATGTTTCTAACTCTTCGTCTGGAAATCTGGATTTTTTAAATGGGTGGTAGGAATATAGAAATTCTGCGCGGGTCACGAACCACCGTCTACAGATGTACCGTGAAGCTTAATCGTTTTTCGGTTACAGTCTGTGGATTTCCGAATATCCAAACTGTAAAAGCCGACAGCGCATTGTTTAGATGCTATAGGCTGGGGTATATTTCAAATGTGTTATATATTGTTTGTTACGCAATCATATGTTAATTGTATCTTTCACGGCTGATTGTACAAAGCTACTAAAATATCTCTTAGAGGTTGGGCTATCGGTGAAACAGCTCAAAAAATCTAATTAGCTGTACTACTTTGTTTAGTAAACAATGAAAGTGTCAGCGACGGCGAAAAAGGATGTGAACGCGCTACCCTCGCTTACAAATGTATGACCGAAAATGCTTCACAGGTATTTACTTACAATTTATCACTTTTTTTATGATAGCATTTTATTAAGTAATTAAATATAAATTTTATTTTATTTAGAAATAGTTTTGTCCAGGTTGTCCATTGACAAAGACCCCCCCTTAATTTCTTCCACATTTCCTAACTTATGATGTTCTCCTCTATCCATTCGACAGATCACCCCCCATCTTTTAATTTGGTTAAGTGATTGGTGCCTAGCCACAATTACTTCATATCGAATAACGTAAAAATTCTTAAAGTTTTACTTTCAACTGCCACATTATACTTATAATTATTAGCTTGCAATTGTATATTGTATTCATTTTATTTTTATTTCCAGTTTGGCTTGGAGCTGTAAGGCAACATAACCAGTGACAACATGTTTTCTATAATCTATAATAATTTAAACATTATTCTAACAATTAATAAACATTTGAATACTTATTGCATTTATTATATATGCTACTGCATTTTAATTACAATTCTGTGAAATGTGTGTAACTAAGGAAAAATGCTTGGTTTATCCAGCCATTCAAAGAACACAAATATATATATATATATATGTATACTGTTGCCATAATACAATATATGTAATAATACTATACATATGATCCCGTCTTCCCTTCTGGGACATGGGACGAACAGGGGGATTTTGCGTCTGTTTGAAGAAATTATGTACAATCAAGTAGTGACTGACCGACACAGTTTCTTGATTCCCCAGGACTGGAACCCAGGACCTCATGCTTAACGCAATGCTTAGCAACGCGTTTGCTTATTGAGCTACGAAGGCACGTTACAGTATACAAAGGAAACACAAAATCAATTAACGTTTTACACAATTTATTCAAAACTTAATATCACAAATTCAACAGTATGTGGGTCGATTAAGGATTTTCAATTCTGGATTTTAGCCCTCGAACTGAAACAAGGAGTTAATATAATTAAGACATAGATATAGATAAATTGTTGACTATTGTTTAGAAGAGAATAAAAATTAATATACAAGTCTTATGGTTAAAATTAAATTGCGCAAGATGTATCAATGTAAGATGTAGCGTTGAAAACATTCGACGTATAGGACTCGGTAGCTCAATTGGTTAAAGCAACAGCACGAAAAGCTGACGATGCCGGTTCAAGTCCTGCCCGAGTCGAAAAAATTTTTTCAATTTATTTTCGATTTTTAAATTATATAGTGTCTTCATGTGCAATAACATGTGAAAAATATTAATGTTTTCAAACATAATAAATACTATTAATAAAAGGATGTCTGAAATAAAGTTACCTCTTTCTTGAATGGCATCAAGCAGTCGAAAAGCAACTTGGATCTATCACAACCCTCGCTGTCTCCAACGGGTTGATCGTTCACTGTAATTTAAAAATATATTAGTAACTAGCTATTTACCCACGATATCATCTGCATCCCGGCGTTCTTGCAAGATAGACATACAATATAGCTGACATTTTATCGGTTATTTTGAATAGCACTTGGTCTTTCATATTTTAATATTCGAAAGCCCTTAAGGATTCATTTGTTTTGCGTTTGCTTTATGTAATGTGCAATGCCTTAGCAAATATCTAAACTTGATGATACGACAAAATTTTGACTTTGAACATAAGTAAATACACAGAGTAAAACCGAAAAAACTTTACACCGTATGCCTTTTTTTATCTGTGGTCCATAAATCTTATCTATAATTCAATTAGCTTTATTACACAGAAATAATCAAGCTGGTAAAAATAAAACTTAAATAAAATACATTTACAGCCTAGCTATTTCTGTTTTATAATGTTAAAAGAGGTTTTTCTTACCCGATACACATTTTCCAATGACTTCTTGGGCTTTAGCTTGTTCGTTTGAGTCAGATAAGTATTTGGAAATAAGTTCTTTGGATTTCTCCACATCGAATTGCCCAGCATCGTTGATCTGTAAAAAAAAGTTAATTATTTGAATTTCATTCGAATCCAAAATAGTTGCATGTGCAATGAAAAGATAAATGAAATTTAAATAAAACACTTAAACGGTTTAAAACGCGATATATATTAGTTAAAACAATTTCTAAATAAGTTCCCGTTTTAAACCGTTAAAGTATTTTATTTAAAAGAATACAATCAAATAAAAACATACATTTACATACTAGGAAAAATTGTAATCTTGTGTAAAAAATACATACCACCCCCGCCTTCTTAAAGACGCAAGCCAAAAGACATTGGTTTAGGCCATCCACGTTTCCTGCTTCTTTTGCCTTCTTTATGTCTTCTTCGCTGACGCCGAAGTTCTTGCTGCACTCTTGCACAGTTGGCAGCATCACGGCGTAGATTTTCATCTTGTCAGCTTGACTGATCGCCTGTAAATATATATATATGTATAGATGATATGTGGATGCCGGTTAGAGTACTGCCTGTGTCGTAATTTTTTTTATTGATAATTAATATATCTATGATAAGTTAACATTTAGAACGTTTTTGTATCAAAACAAATGTTACAAATAAGATATAAAATATTTTAAATTTGTAAAGCAGGATAAATTGGGGGGTTGGCAGTGCAAAGGAGTTGTGTTGTAAAAATGAGAATTTGCTTACATTCTTCATATTTTTAAATTTACATTTAATATAAACACTAAAGAAATATAAATAAGGAATTTAATAAATTCTAAATTCATTAAACAGATCTGAAAAGACCAATTAATAAATCTTAATAAATAACCATAAACTAAGAAGAACGGTGATGATAAACCAAAGTTTAAATTTAAATATAAAAATAGTATTGTTTAAATAAAACACTTTAACGGTTTAAAACGCGATATATTAGTTAAACTTATTTGGAAATGATTTTTAACTTCGGCCCGACGTTTCGGATGCTTTGCAGCAGCATTATTTTCAAATAAGTTTAACTAATATATCGCGTTTTAAACCGTTAAAGTGTTTTATTTAAATGTGTACTACTCGCGTAAACAACTATAGACAGTATTTAATAGTATTGTTTATATAAATATGTATAAGGCAAGTAATTTTATTTATAATTTATATTATACTTTAATAATATTACATGTGGACATGTACATATAGAGATATGTACATATCCAATGAAAAATAGTTGATAATAACGATATAGGATGTTCCAAAAAACTCACTTCAGCCCTTTTAAAAGCCACCGCGAACAATCCGACACACAACAGAGCGAGACGAAAAGACAACATTTTTATATTTAAAATATATTCCAACAGGCGTCTTGTTTCCACCGAAATCTATATACCTGTACGAAGACGGATAAAGCAAGATGTATTTATATAGACGCTCGGGTATTTTTTCTATGATAATTATCTCAAAGCGCTTACAAGCAAAAAGTTGTTATTATCCACCATTGTTTTACGTTTGGACTTCGGTGCAACAAATTGTCAACGGAACTACACATTACGTTAAAGCCATTGTTAACAGCTCTCTAATCTTAATCGGTTAATTGGATACCGGTTAAACCGAATCCGAATACTGACGACACAATTTAACAACGTTATTGAGTAAATTAACAACTGAATTGCATTTTATATCCGGTGTACTTCTGTAGGTATTTTTAATATAAATACATAAATCAAATTAGTATTTAAGCAAGTATTAAAATTATAAAATGTATTTGTTTGTACTTTTTGGACATTTTAATTAAAAAATAAATTATTTGTTTATGGCATAGAGGGGTAGATAGAGACAGTATTTGTCTATAGCTGTATGCCAAAAGATAGCATGAAGTTTGATAATAAGTTGTCCCGATAGCCTATGTCTATGTCATTATTTGACACGCAATAGTTCTTTTTAATCGTCGCGGGTAAGAGCTAAGTAAAGAAAAAAAATCCATAATAGAAATCAAATTTTGAAGTTTGTTTCACATTGGGTCGAGATCAATCTATCTAGGGTTGGATAACAAGGAGATTCAGTCTTATAAGAATTACAATACCAGGACACCGACGTTACTAAACACTAATTATGCTAATATTATAAAACAAAACCAACAAACTCTGCAGTTTGTTGGTTTGAACGCGCTAATGTCAGTAAGTAAACTGGTTCGAATTGAAAAATGTCATCTATCAATTTTGTGTTGATTAGACCAATTATCGAAGGTTTTAATCTATAAAACAGTACGCTGCGATCAATAGAAGCGAAGAAATAGTGGGAAATGTGGAAAACACGAGAAAAATTATTCATCTTTGTCAAGGACGGGACGAGGATGACGTCGTGGCCTCGTGGGTAACAGGTAAAATGTATAAAGATAAGCTTTGGTGCCCAAAATAACTATTCTACGCGGACGAAGTCGCCGCCAAAGCTAGTATAGCATATACGTCTAGTGATAAATCTTTTTTTTGTATGTTTGTTAGGATTTTAGAACGACTGCATCGCTGTAGACTTATCTTGTAGAAAACTGATATAAAAAGTATGGAAAAAAAATAGAGCAACTAGTAGATAAAAATATAAATGAGTAAAGAGCAATTGTGAATTCTCAGAAGAGAACAATGTCATTATACTCTAATCGTTGAATTGTGCTTCTATCTCATATCAAAGACCTTGATACTGACCATCAAACTCAGCGTATGTTATTAGTAACGTAGTTATTACCTGTATTATCGCGAAAACATCTAATATGCAAGTACTTATGTTCCTTATATATACATATATGTCACTATTTAGACGGACTCGTCGGTTAGATCCCCACTGGGTCCAACATCTTTTTAATCAATCTATAATATTTCAAAAACATTTAAATAAAACACTTTAACGGTTTAAAACGCGTGGTCACGGGGAGACAGTCTCCCCGTGACCACGGCTGCTGCAAAGCATCCAAAACGTCGGGCCGAAGTTAAAAATCATTTTCAAATAAGTTTAATTAATATATCGCGTTTTAAACCGTTAAAGTGTTTTATTTAAATGTGTACTACTCGCGTAAATTATAGACAGTATTTCAAAAACATGTTGGACTTCGTCTGGAAATCTGGATATTAAATGTCTGGTAGGAATATCGAAATTCCGTCCGAGTCGCCAACCACAGTCCACAGATCAAAAAGACGTGTCGTTACTGTCAAGATCAGTTTTAGTCTGTGGATTTCTGAAATCCAAAATCAAAATAAATATATGCACTATATAAAACAAAATAAATCTAGTTTTAATTTTATACGGGTATATCTTTCATCTAAACCTCATCTTTAAAGTTATTAATATCTCGTATAAGAAATATAAGAGAAATTAAATTGATATAAAAAATTTAAATTATATAGTGCCTTCGTGTGCAACATGTAAAAATAATAAAGTTTTCAAAGAAATTAAAATAGCCAGTTACTTCATAATTTATTTTCAAGCGAACAAGAAATTCGGTGGATTATCTTCGTAAATACATTTGGCCGTCCAATAAGCTGATTCGCATAGGTCCTTGTATTTCTTCGCTGCAACAATAATATAACTTTTAGCTTCGAAATCACATCTGTAGACTATACACTTTATCAAGGTTTGAAAACCAAAATGTAACCATTATTTTGACGAGATCGGTAATCATTAATTAATTACTCTCGAGTGTACAAACCGTAGACTGAACGAATTACTTGTATTTGGTCATGGTTCAGGCAGTTCAAATCCCGGTAGAGCAAATACAAAGCTAAACACTGTCTGTAGTTGACGCGAGTAGTACACATTAAAACGTCGGGCTGTAGTTAAAAATAATTCTCAAACAAGTTTAAGTAAAATATAAAGTGTTTTATTTAAATACAAAGTTATTTACTTTATATACATTAATATGGAGAAAAAACATCTTTTAAATATTTGACTATCAAAATTTGCTATTCCCATGGGGACCATCGTCTCCCCCTGACCCCCCCCCCCCCAAAAAACCCCAAAACCCCGGGCCAAAAAAAAAAAATTTTTTTTAAAATTTTTTTTTTTTTTTCGGCGTTTAACCGTTAAAGTATTCTTGACGAGTTAATTTAAAAGGCAGACTTACAGTGTTGGACTAACAAAATTTGCTATGCCCATGGCATCGTCGGCGCCCCTTGATTTTTTTTAGATAATTAAAAGAATTCATTGCCTCGCGCATAATTATCGTTTTCTTAAAACGTTTTAGCAGCACACGTAACGAAAACCCTTTTCCCCCTGTTTCTTCGTAAATAATACTTCAATTCGAACCAGTAGTTCCTAAGTTCTTAGTTGCTATTACAGTGTTTAAACAATCACTAACTCTTTGGCTTTAGCCAAGCTGTTAGCCCATCTCTCTGCTATCGAGTCTATATTAGAGATGAAAGTGGTTTACACAAACAAAAGAGTTTAGACATACTCCAGTCTGCACTGGAGAAGTGATAAGTATGTCTACTCAAATACTGTCTATAGTTTACGCGAGTAGTACACATTTAAATAAAACACTTTAACGGTTTAAAACACGATATATTAGTTAAAAATCATTTTCAAATAAGTTTAACTAATATATCGCGTTTTAAACCGTTAAATTGTTTTATTTAAATGTCTAGCCTCTTTAACCCTGAGATAGCACTGGGAAATACAAAGGTTTAAACAACGCTCTATATACATACGAGTATTTCTGCAATTTTCCAGAGTCGTCAACATTGCCTCTTTCATATCCTCCGGATAATTCATTTTCACTTGCTTCACGGCTGCGTCGTAATTTATTTTGTTGTTTTTGATCTGTGAATAAACAGAACAAGAAGAACACTAGAAATATGTTCATATTTAGCACATTTAAGACACAGTGGTTTAATATTCTATCTCTCTATCTGCGGCCTTAGTTGCCTCCGTTAACGCCAGAGGTCCTGGATTCGAATTTCGAGGAACGTTAACAAAAAATCTAAAGCAGACATATAACTGTGTATTTCCCTTACCCTAACCTTGAATTTTAGTTTTTTTAATACAGTTACTTATTTAAAATACGATCCTATTTGTTAGAGAACAAGAATTATTTAATTTGATGTTTAGAATATCTTATTGGAATAAACTTTCTTACAATTTGAGTAGTTTGATATACGCAGGCGACGTAACACATCACTGGTCTCTCTTCGATAAACTTGCCTTTTTCTATATCACCAATGAGTTCTAGAAAACAAAACCAAACATGTATTTTTAACAGTACACATATTCGAATTTTGGAAAATTCCTCAGTTTTTCGAGCTGGTCCTCCGTCTTGTTCAATATCCTCTGATGATGTGAAAACCATCTCGTAAACTACGACAGAATATTCCGAAAACCAAAGTGGCTTCATAGGGTAGTGTGCTTATAAAAATTCAATGTAGGGTAAGTAAGAAATAATTCTTATTTTAGTAATTTTACTACTTTTTCTCCCATATTTTTTTTATTAACTAAGAAGGTAAGTACGTGTGATAATAAACAGCTAAACATAGATACAATTAATACAGAGATATATTCTAGATAGCATAACTTACAAGAGGCAACAATGGCAAAGACTCCTGTTTGTCTTGCCTGTGTTTAGTCCCATAGCTGGGCTAAATCTACTTTAGCCCTGCTATGGCACTGCAATACAAATACCTACCTTCTGTCACATTATTTTTGTTCATGCAATTCTTCTTTACAATTTTTGCTGCATTCTTGATTTGCTGCCTCGTCATCTGTTCATAAAGAATTGTTCAGCCATACCACAAAACATGATTAACTAAGCTACAAAACAATTAGTGTTGTTCTTTATGCATTTTTTGCCTAAAGCGCGTGTTACCGCAAAATAGCAACTTGAGGTCAATGTAAGTAGTTTTTGGTTTTTTCTTATTTAATGTGATTTTGGCAAATATTTTCCGGTCAGCTATTGTTTAACTTGGTTACACAATACAATATGGATTGTATACAGACACACTTCATACATTTCTAGGATTTCTTCTGTTTCATTTTTTTTTACAGACAAATGTATGGATTAGTCATTAGGTGATTAGGTCCGTGTTAGTTTTATCGAAATTCCGCCCAGTCTACGAACCATCCTCCATTGATATAAAAGCCGTGAAGTTTAATCGCGTTTCAGTTTCAGTTTATGGATTTCAGAGTATCCTAATAGGCAAATATTTTTCCCCCAGGATTCGAACCTCCTTTCTCCATTCTTTCCATTCCTTGTCTTCCTTTCCTTCCTTTCTCCTTAGATTCCTTGACTTTGTACATTATTTAATTTTTAATGAACTCAGGAAGGAATTATAAATAAAGTATTCTATTTAGATATGACATTTTTTTATAAATATCAATCAGTATTTAAGCTAAATTTCCTTGTTTTAAGATATTTTATATACTTTGCATTCTGCCGTGACTGACTTATGGAAAATACCAATATCGCATATTTAATAAGTGTGTATCAACTCATAAACATAACACAATAACAATAAGATATACATTTTGCGCCAATCACTCAGGTTAATGTACCTTAGTGATACACGATAAAAATAATATATATGTATTCAAAAGTAACACCTTGTTACATTGTATACAAGATATTTATTTATTACTTTCGAAGCTTAAGCCCTACTAAATTACAAAACTACGGATTCGAATTCGGAAAAAAAATGATATCAGTGTTAAGCACTGTACTTTATATTCTACGCAACTACCTTCGTATCTCATTGAATAAAGACACTAGGTTCAAACCCCGGGGAAATCACGATAATGTTTCAGTCGTGTAGTTTTCAAGTAACAACAATAAAGTAAGACTTACTGAATCGATACCACATGTTAAAACCAACATTATAAGCAAACATATCTCTCTTTGCTGCATCATTAAATACGGATCGAAATCAAACTGTTTGTTTCTAGATGACCACAGATAATATAAACTCTGGCTGATTATACACTAGACATAATGGATAGTGGATAACGAGGGTAACTTATAATTAAATATCTACATAATTTAATGTCTTATCGTTCATAACTCTAGATGGAGTTTAGAATTAATTTTTAGTAAGTAAAAATCCGACCGCCTCTGTAGCTAAATGGTTAAACGCGCTGCCTATCATTGCGTTAAGCGTGAGGGGTCTTGGGTTCGAATCCCGGGGAAACAATAAATTGTTTCGGTCGGGGGGGGGCGGGGGGGCGTCCAAACACTTGTCTGGAAATAAAAACCCATCAGTGAAACCAGTGTTCGCCCCATGCCCCACGAGGGGAAACGGGATTTCACTTACTTACTTACTTTAAAAGTGGACTAGTAAGTTATTAAATTGGATTTATTTGATTACATAAATTAATAAACAGCCTAAATAATTAAAAATTCTACCACAAATCACTATTCCACGCGGACGAAGTCGCGGGCACAGCTAGTTATTTATAAATAAACATAAATAAAGTTATTAACAACTACCCAAGTTTCGAGACTTGAGAGTTTCTACAGTTAATCATAGTCCTTGTAATTTGGCGTATAATTGTTTCCACCACTTTGTTTGTCTCGTCATAGAGGAAATAATAAGGCTTTATGTTCATTGGAGATTAAGATCTAACATACTGGATAGGTACTTGGTTTTATAGTGTTCTCGTAAAGATGTATTCGATGGGTTCGTTTGTGCAATGTATACCTAATGACCAACAAACAGGTTTATTCTATTCCCACCACAAGTATTGAAATCGGGAAAATGTAGATATTAACTTGGTCACTGTAAACAGATGTAAAGTATTCTAAAAAGTAGTACACATTTAAATAAACCACTTTACCAAGCCTGAAACTAAAATTTTCTGAAAATTTGAAAAAATTTTTATTTATTATAGTTATCATAAAAAAATTATGAAAAAAAATTAAGTGTAAGTCGATCTATAGGACGAGATATAGGTTAAAAATTTTGAAAAAAGATTAATCAAAAAGTAGTATTAATAACTAATTATATTAAATTGTTATATTAATTTCTAGATTAATATTTATGAATGATATTTTCAAAAATTGACAAATCCAAATCACATTTCTTGCAACTGTCAAACATTTTTTTGACTGACAATTGTGTTTGCTTCGATTGAGAAATAACCAATGATTCATTGGTCTTTAGATTAGATGTTCATGATGGGAGGGTCGGCTAGGCCCTCTTTGGCATTTCTGTTTGATTCAATCAAAAAATTGCTACCCTTCTGCGAAAGCCAAGATGATCCAGTTTTCCATGATTTATTTTATATAACGGGCATGCATTATGTTCGGCAAGATCAATCTTGTGTGAGCAACGGCATGTACCATTTCTTACCTCGTATACCAATTCGGTAATGTTAAATATTTTCATCAACGATCCTCCTCCCAAATTTGTTATTGATGGACACCATATGTGGTTCTTCTATATGTTTCTCTTCTCCATGGTAGGTACGCCTACGTTTAGTTCGACCTTACAATAGAAGGTTCTTCTTTTTCACTCACCATAATCTGCCCTTGAATATTACTTCAGCGGTTGAAGCAGAATGTTTCGTGGCAAATTATTCAAAGTTACTTATCTTCTTCACCCGAATCTTCGTCAGTGGGACAGTCAGGATCAACAGGAGGCGGTAGAATACATATCAGTCGTTCTCTAATCTTCTCTTATCAGAAACATTTTCTAAAGCATCTAAAATTTCATGCGCAGCTAACGGTCTGTAAAGAAAAAGTTGTATCATTGTACTAAAATCACTAATATTATCCTACTGTCCTTATATAGTACTAGTTTTGTAACAATTATACGTAATTTATTTATTTATTTTCTAGAATATTTATTTAGTACAAAAGTTAAGGTTATCAACTAATATTAACAGAAAAAACAATAGATAAAATATAACTTTTTATACATACCTGTCATTTCCATTCTCAAGACTTTTATTACATATTATAAGGTAAAATATAAGGTAAAAATTTAAAATAACTGTCTTTTTATTTTTTCTAATAAAGTGATACGTTTCTTATGCAAATCATAAGACTAAATAATCTTAGATAAAGAGGGTATTCTGATATTTTTTTATTTCTATGTCTAAATATAGGACAGTAGGCTTATCTGGGTTAAGGGTTTAAAACCAAAATATAAGTTCACTTATTTACAAATTATTCTAACTAATTATCGGATTAATATCGGAGGAAACAATTTTATGTTACCTTTCACGCTTACCGCAATGGTAGGCAATACGTTTAACCATTTGGCTACAGAGCCGGTCCGGTGTAGTTCATATTTTTTTTTATTTTACATTAGTCACCCCTCTTTATGTATGAAGTTATTTCGCGCTTATTAGACACTTACGAACAAATTATTGTGTAGCTAGTAGTTCTACATTTTCCATGTACATTTTCCTGAAGTAAAATTAAGTGATTACGCGAAAATAAAACACAATTTATTTCAAAGATATATTAGGATACATCGTACATCTCGTCTTAGTTCTATTGAAATAAAATTGTGCTCACGGAAAAACGAAGCTAGCTGGATAACTTTCGTATAAACATTTTGTGGAGTAGAAGATTCCTTCGCAACCATCATCATATTTGTATTCTGCAAGAAATACTTTTTATAATAAAACAATTTAACGGTTAAAGGCGGTCTCCATTAGTTCAACTTTTGTTTTGTAGTTGAAAATTATTTTAACTACGACCCGACGGTTCGGATGCTTTACAGCAGCCGTGGTCACGGGAAGATAGTCTCTCCGTTTTATTTATATATTTCTAAAGAGACATCAACATTTTAGAGCGCATTTAATGTTGTAGTCTTTTAATTAAAGCGAATGGTATTAAATAAAACAATTTTAAACAGATTGAAACGAACTATACAATACACGTTATTAGTCATGCTAAGTTATTAGATAATGCTCTTTAAGAGCCGTGACGGCCAGGACTTGAACCGACATCCAGAGCGTTCCGTGCTGTTGCTCTAACAAAAGTAAAATGCCTAATTGTGAAATAATTAAATTTCACGTAATTGTAAACAATTGACTGATTCGAATTTTAAAAAAATATTTCGTCGGCCGTCAGTCATATTGCCCCAAAGAAAAAAGTAATGTTTGAAAAATTTAACAAGATTAGGTAGATTGAGATACTAAATTTCCTATGCATGAGTTATTTTTATAGTGGTTTTTCTGTTACTTACGTAAATCGAAGCATTTTTCTACGCCTTTTTTCGCCGGCACCCGGAGATCTGTTGGATATAACACATCTATTTGCTTGATTATGAGATCTTTGTCCAATCTGTTGTTTTTCACCTAAAAAATAACACCTGGGTTAAACCAATAGCTTACGTCATTTGTCTTAATATTATCGTTTCTAATTAGTTATAGATTCTACAAGCGACATCTTGAATTGAACGAAAAAAAACGATTGGACATACATTGTAAAAATAATTAGTAATTTCATAAAAGAAAGTTATCTAATTGACACCTCTCCACTGCGACGTGGCGTGGTTAATCTTTTTATGTTATTTTAATGTTTAAATAAAACACTTCTAATGGTTTAAAACGCGAAATATATTAGTTTACTTATTTACACTTTAAACAAACTACGGTGACGTTTGGGATGCTTTGCAGCAGCCCTGGTCCCGGGCAATAATTTGTAAATAAGTTAATGCCTTTCCCGTTTAACCGTTAAAATTGTTTTATTTAAATTACTCACGTAAACTACAGATAAATATAGTATATGAAAATGTATTTACAATATCAACATTTCCATTCTGTGGTTTAATACGACAATGCTGTCACAAGAGGTCCTAGATACGAGGCCCGGATAAACATAGTATATAATTTGGATCGTACAGGGCACAGAGACTAAACAATTTGTAAGCCGGTCATGACCCAAACAAGGAAATTACTTTGCCCCGTGCCCCACGGACTGGCAATATGATTTTATACCCCTGAATTTATCTTGACTTACCACCATAGCAGCTTTGTATACACAAGCTATATAACACATGACATTATGATCTTCAAGAAACACTCCTTGCTCGATTTTACCTACTTTATCTGTAAGAAGAATATATTATTAACAGGTTTATTGGAAAAACTATTATAAAATAATGATTATAATGTACCGGACATAAAATGTCTAAGACCTTTGGACAGTGAACTGGACTTTGGACGAGTCGAGCGACAGTCAATCAAGCTAGAAACAAAGCTAGTCCTAGGTTTAGTCGTTAGGTACATCGGCACCGGGGGGGGGGGGGGGGTCTACTGATAGTATTGTATTATAATAATTAATATTTTACCATTATTAACTCCGTTCTTTGGCATGCACTGATTTTTCATAACTGTCATCGTTTTTTTAATTGCTGTCTCGTCATCTGAAACAAATTACAGTTGTAGGCAATGGTTAGAAGTTGCGCAACAAAAGTTTGACTTGAGAGCTAAAAAATCACATCATGAATTTAAAAGAAATCACAAATATATGAGTATTTCTTATTATTTACAATGTTTCTCTACTTACCGCACAAGACGAGGGTATAATCAGTAAAACACAACACAGTATCAACCACAGCTTAAAAGACATGATGCAAATGTTAGATTTAAAATGTTACTGAAACCCAAAAGGTCATTTCAATTTCCATTTAAAAACGGTCAACGCCAAAAAATCTAATGATACCCTCTGCTCAAGCTGTCATTTTGGTAAATTGTTTAATGATAAGGTACGTTGAAAATAAATTATTGTCGCATGCTTAGCTGTTTCATCTTTACTAATATTGTAAAGCTGGTAAAGTCACTACTGGTTCGAATTTAAAATTGTTGGGTAGACTATTTATCGAGAAAGGCTATAAAACATCAGACTGCGATCAATAGGAAATTCGGTGAAAATCAACCATCTCTTCTATGAGAAAGAAGACCTGTGCCTGAAATTGAGACATTAACATATGGATACAAAATATAGATGAGTCGTTTTATTTCGTTTTTGGAATGTTTATTGTGTTTTTATTATAAATACAATAATTATTTGATAATTATAACAATGCGTCTTCATTCACGTTTTTATTAAATTATGGGAAAATGAAATTCTTTGGGTCAAAGTCGTACATACATTTGGCTGTCCAATATGACGCTTCACATATATCTTTATACTTTTTACCTGCAATGTAAAAATAGGTCTTATTATATCTTAATATAATTTATATTTACGCAGAAAAAAACTATTGAGAAACTTCATGTTCTTATATAATTATTACGCCGTCATATGATCCAAGTATTCGAACCTTGACATAAGCCAGGAACACAAAATGTCTGATAGAGTTTTATCATCTAACTTGTTTGACTGACAATTACTTGAGTCTTACTCTATATAAGTATATGCTACGAGTATTACTAATATTATACTTATAGACTTAACAGAAATAAACGTGACGATATATTAGTTAACTTAGTTAGTTAGTTACTGTTACTGAGTTCAAAGTTAGTTTGTTATATACTCACTGATATCTTTACAATTGGCAGCTGCTGCTTTGACTGCATCCCTCATTTCTGGTGGAAACATCGTGTCCACTTGCTTTATCACTGCATCGTATGAGATTTTATTATTTTTAATCTGTAAGAAAAAAGAGCTGGTTTGATCTTATAGTAAGTGCAATTAACGTTCTAGATCTTAAATACTGTCTATAGTTTACGCGAGTAGTACACATTTAAATAAAACACTTTAACGGTTTAAAACGCGATATATTGCCGTATTAGCCGTGGTCACGGCTGCTGCAAAGCATCCGAAACGTCGGACCGAAGTTCAAAATCATTTCAAAATAAGTTTAACTAATATATCGCGTTTTAAACCGTTAAAGTGTTTTATTTAAATGTTCTAGATCTTTTTGATTTATAGGCGTCCATAATTTTTATTGATTTAATTGTGTACGTAAACTCTACAAATATTTATATACAGCTTAACATTAGTCAAAATACATTTGACCATCATAGTAGAAGCGTGGTAAGTTACAAACTTATAGAACTACAGGAGTTCCAATTTTGTTTAATGATAGAGAACGACAGCGAAGCATGGGTTCCACTAGATGGTAGGTGGCATCTAAGCAAATTGCGCTGATGATGATGATGATGTGATGTTGATGTGAGGTTGACTAATTGGCTTTGGATATTCGGAAATCCACAAACTGAAACGGAAACGTAATTAAACTTCAAGGCTCTTTTATCTGTGGACGGTGGTTCGTGCCCCGGACGGAAACGACACCACCCATTAAATATGCAGGTTTCTAGACGAAGTCCAACATGTTAGAAACATGTTAGACTGGTGGGGATCGAACCGCACACCAGTTGATTATTACCCGTACATTGCCACAATTACACCAACGAGCCCGTATACATATTAAAACGGCGTTATATTTGTACTTACTCTTATTTAGTACGTAGTATTTAGCTTACCACTTGTGTCATAGTGTAGACACATGCTATATAGCACATGACATTTCGCTCTTCAATAAACTTCCCCTGCTCTATTTGACCGACTTGATCTGAAAGCAACGGGATAATTTTATATCCACTAGTATTGCCACATACAAAAGATAAAGAACCAGGAAGTCACCTTCAGTTACATCATTCTTGGGCATGCATGACTTTTTCATAAGCTTTCCAGAGTTTTTCAATTGTTGTCTCGTCATCTTTAAGAGAAATTGAAATTTTTACTAAATTAAAATAATAAGCTCACAACAAAAAAAACACTTATTTATATTTAATTTTTCGGGCAAATATCTCCTGACTATGTGGAATAGTTATTTTAGGCAACATCACCCTCAACAAACGATAGCTGTTACCCATGACGTCTTTCCGCGTTCATGCCGGTTGCCAGTTAAAGTTAAAAGATTGATATACTGTCGTAGACACTTTTGTGGAAGCAAACAAACTTCTTAGCTTTATAATATTTATATAGATAATTTCATCGAATTGCGATTCCAAAACGACGAGAATCATTTCTCAACTGTGACGGTCGAACAGCTGGATAACCAATAACATCGCGAACACCTTGTACAGTTTATTATATTAAAATGGTGATTGTCTATAGAAACTGGTGCAAGGCGTCTGAAATCTCGGCTCGTAGTTCAACAAAAAAAAATATTTATCACGTTTCAAACCGTTAAAAAATTATTATACACACATACGAATATTATACAGATAAATGAAGTTAATTCAGTTTTTTAAATGTTGTAAAGCATTTAGACAACTTTTACACTCTTTAAAAGTTCACTCACCGTGTTGGTAAAAAACATTAAATGAAAGAAAACTACTGCAAGGCGTCTGAAATCTCGAATCGCAGTTCAACAAAAAACCTAATTTAAAACACGTTTCTAACCGTTAAAAACTCGTGTATTATACATACATATCAATATTATGTCGTTAAATAAAATTGATTTCTTTCTTTATATCTTAAGTTTGTGAAAACTATTTAGAAGTTCACTCACCGCTTTGGTAAAGTAAATTAAATGAAAGAAAAACAAAGACACAAACAAACATTCTTTAACATTCATTTTGAAAATGGACAACTAAGCAAGCTGACATTTTTCTACTTTTATATATACGACTTTGTATCTTGTCTAATGACACATTAATGTGATAAAAGTTAGGAATTACTGTCTCTAACTAATAATGAGGCATGACATCATACATTTTGTAACAGCTGTGATCGTTCAGAATTTGTGCAATGTCCTACATTCGAATTAATGGAAGCGGATAATTTATGAGAACAATAATAGTAACTGAAAAGACAGCTGGTACCTAAATAGTACTCAATGCATTAATCGACATTTTTTATACTTTCTATTCTAACGATAAAGTAATAAACTTTTTTATATTATCAGAAAGAAATAACAAAATTAGGCCTAGTTAACAAAACATGGGTTTAGAATTAATTATTAAGTAATTAAAGTTGAAATACTGTTATATAACTAAGAAAATACAGTTAATGTTACTCGTTTTAAACTGTTAAACGTGTTCTTATGAATGGTTATAACTAGAGTAAGCTGCAGACTTTAATAATGTACAATCAGTGAGTTTTAAATTTGAATCTTGTCTGCCTTACAAGATACCTACTTTAAAAAACGAAGGAAAGAGCGAATAATTTTTACTGTAACATTGAAGAAGTTACCTAATGTAACATTTCCTCTTGGGTCACCATGATTCTAATAACAATAAGTACATTTTTAAATATATATAGGCTTTTTTTTGAGCAATATTACTAAGTCTTGTTGTATTTAGTCTTATTTAATTTTTTACATTCTACTTAGCTACTACTACTACATAGTTTATTTTTAAGTCTTGCACTTTATTTAATCGAAACTAGTCCTTTTGGTGAAATACCTATGTGTTAATGATAGTCCGGATGAAGTATAGGTCTTACATATATGATTTTCGTTAAATTTTACGACTAAATCATAATCATGTAACCTTTTCCACCTGTTAAGTATTAAAAAACTCTGGATCCCAATAAACAGCATACCGGCAAACGCCAAGACACCGTTAGTAAAATACCAACTTCGACGGAACAGATGGCGCTAGCGTAGCAATTTTTTACTCTCCCCGTGGCCACGGTTGCTGCAAAGCATCCGAAACGTCGGGCCAAAATTAAAAATCATTTTCAAATAAGTTTAACTAATATATCGCGTTTTAAACCGTTAAAGTGTTTTATTTAAATGTGTACTACTCGCGTAAACTATAGACAGTATTTTATTAAAAAACCTTTATCTTTGAAAACCATTATTTTAACCCGTTATTAATCATTGATAACTTAGTTAGATGGGTGTGAAAAGCGACACTGTTATTAATTAATTACTCTACAATTATCACCCATTCATATAAGAAGGCATCGAGGGGTTACCATTAGAATGGGTACCATGTCCATTCGACTAGTTATCATCAAGTTTGCTACAATTTTTCTTGTCTGCGATGCAGTAAGTTTATCTTAAGTCTTTTTTATTATTAAAATGGTTCCTTCTATAATATGACAATTGTAGATTTATTAAAAGTCCTTTACATATTTCTTTTATCAGTGTAGTGTATTTTTTTTAGATGACAATGAAACAGATTAAATCAACAGGCAAAATGATGAGGAAAACGTGCCAACCGAAAAACAATGTTGAAGATGGTGAGTTCTTTTAAAAACTCTAGAATAAAGTTTCTAGATTTTTGAAAAAAAAGCAAAATTGATAATTTTTTTTTTTTTTTAGAGAAAATAGATCCTATATCCGACGGCGTGTTTCTGGAAGACAAGAACGTTATGTGCTATATTGCGTGTATTATGAAAATGGCTAACGCTGTAAGTTACTTTTTTTGTACATTATATTCATCATAAAAAAATGCAAAAAAGAATCGACAAAAATGTCTATCTCTTATTTTTACAGATAAAAAATGGTAAACTGAATTATGAAGCGGCATTAAAGCAAGCCGATTTATTATTGCCAGATGAAATAAAGGAACCCACGAAAGCTGCTATTACTGCGTGCAGGAAAGTGGGTAAGTGTTGCCATCCTTATGTATAAATTAAGCCTCTCTTTTACAGTCTAAACGAGCTAACAGATTTTAAAGCGTTATGACTTTTGCTGCTCCCATTAAGTTTTTTTATGAACTTTCAGCCGACTCATACAAGGATATATGTGAAGCATCGTTCCATGTTACTAAATGTATGTACAACGAGAATCCTTCTGTATTCTTCTTTCCTTAATAAAATGAAAAGACAATCTCTTTTTAATTGTTTAATTGACTAATATATTTAGCCTTCACTGATCACTTTTTTATATGAATACTTCGCGTTTGCCAGTATACTATTTTTTGGAATCGAGATTTCTAAAAAAAGCAACAATGCGATGACACCGTTGGTCAACTCTGCAAAGACCCGGCCAGTTTCGCCAAATACCAACTTCGACGAAACAGATGGCGATAGCGTAGCAGTTTTTACTTTGACGTCAGAGACAGCCGCCATCTTTTGTCTTCCCATTACCAATCTGCTGCAAAGCAGATCCGAAACGATCGGCCCGTACTTAGTTATAATAATTTTACTGGCGTAAAATACAGACAGTATTTAAGTAGTAAGCAGTTTAATTACTTTCAAAAGTTCAAAAAGATATTGTATATTCGTTTATGCTGCTTTAAAGCACCATAAACGCAGTGAGGTCGTAATAAAAAAAATATTAATTTTTTTACCGTTAAAAGTGTTTTATTCAAAATTGAGTCAATTTTAGTTGTAATTTATGTCTGTATGAGACATAATAATCATTTCCGCTTCAAAGCCAAGGTGTATTTTTAAAAGGAACTCTTATATTTTTCCGCTACGATACTAATGTATGGCTGCCAGTCTTATATCAGACAATTATATGCAATTTTTCTTATAAATACAGCTCAATCTTAGCCCAGCGCAATTATTCATGTGATGATGCAATTAAAATCCAGCTATTGCGTTGTAATTACGTAATTTGTTGCAGGAAATGGTAGATATATCGAAACACATGAATTCTTCTTTATATTTGGATATATTTCATAAAATAAAAATCATATATCAACCCGTTAACTTCCTGCTGCAGCATAGGGCTCCTTGCACCATCTTGGACCAGACCAGCATGGAGACACAAGATTTAAAACCTCAGCTGGTACTAGAAATGATCTTAGAAAATTCCAAATATATAAATAAAACACTTCAACGGTTTAAAATGCGAAATATATTATTTAAACTTATTTGAAAATTATTTTAACTACGCCATTAACAGCGATCCGTGCTGCCCATCTTGCTTAAACGGATAGATTGAGGTTAATTTAAGAAATCATTGAAGATGACTTTACAGAGTTCAACGGTTGAAAAGTTTAAGTTAAAATATACTAATCTTACGTCAATATTATTAAGTGATTAAAGGGCATTTTCTATTGCATTTTTTTCATGAATCCACTGCTGGTAGTGAACATGAAACAGCACGATCTAGGGAAATCTATGAAATAGTGAATGACGTAATATAATACGAATAATAATAACATTAAAAAACCAATTTAGTACATCATACAAAACATTCAAAAATATAATGATTTTAATACTATGCATACAAACGGTTCTTGGACGCTTTTAATGCTTAAGAACGTAAAACATGGTCCACCAACCATATTGTCGCTATTAAAAAAATAATAATTTAAAAAAGTCGCTTTTAAAACTAGTAAAAGTAGCATACATTTAAATAAAACTGTTTAATGGTTTAAAACGCGATTTAGTTACACTTATTTGGAAATATCGCGTTTTAAACCGTTAAAGTGTTTTATCTAAAAGTGTAATGTGTTCGCATCAACTAAAGAGAAAAAAGTTGAAACCTCTTAGCAACACTATGTTACCTACGTTGTAACGTCCTCAATGCGCTTGGTTCAAAAATTACATCGCTTTATAATATTTCCAAATTGTTTCCACCACGGTCATATAAATTATCTGCAATCTATCCTCCCAATCTAAAAAGCATTAGTACCGAAACTTAATGATATTATAATAAAAACATCAGATATAAATAGATTTCTACGAAAATTTTCAATAGTCATTGTTCTGAATTTGTGAAGATGGCTATTTTCCAAGTCTTTTTGTGTATCTGTGGTATAGGGCTCGCCTATGTAAGTTTATTTTGTTACTACGCGAGAGGTTACATTATAATTGTATTTTCGAATTTGCAAACCCTTTTCGTTTACATTACAATTTAGAATAATAACCAGACATTTTTTCGGGTTTGCAATATTATTAAACTCTCATTAAATAAACAAATGACAATTTTACACGATACAAGACTTAGGGCTTGAAAAATTTAATATTTTTCACATGTATTGCACATGATGGCACTCTATAAATGAAAAATCGATTGTAAATTGTAAAAAAAATTACGGCACGGACAGGATATGAACCGGCATCTGTTACTCTAACCGATTTGGAAGACAGGGTAGTCCAATTAGTTGTAGCAATTTTTAAACGATTTTAAAATTTAGGACTTTTCCATTGACTCGCTGTATTGTGCTCTGTACTCAAATCATATGCTTGTGTAAAAACATTTTAGGGATTATTTTTCAATTAAAAGATTATGACACTCACGGGAGTCCGAACCCGCGACACACACGAGCCATTATTTTTTCAAAGTTAGAAAATCACATAGATCCACTTGTGATAATTATATTGTTGAATATACTTCGTCGAAGTATACTACCACGAAGTCTCAGGAAGATTTCCCTCGAATCTACATCTGAGATTCGATTGAGGGTTAATAATGAGTTTATCATTTAGGGCTCCGAGGCGGATGTCAAAGCTTGGTTCTTGGAGAAAGCGATGGAATGTAGCCAAGAACATGTTGTGACTAGTGAAGAAATTAGGATGATGAAAGAACATCAACTGCCAGAAAGTAATACTGGGAAATGTCTATTAGCTTGCATGTTTAGAAAAGCAGAATGGGTGAGTTTCATAATTTTTAATCTATACTAATTTATAGAACTGAAGAGTTTGTTTGTTTGTTGGTAAGCGCTAATATCTCTTATAATGACTCTTATTTAAATAATGTGAAACATATCTTCGATAGTATATAATATCATAGTCATAGTATAATCTTAAAGTAACATGCAAGAAGGACAAGACGCGACCGACGTCGTGGGTAAGAGATTAAATTTATAATGTATTAAAAATCATATTTGATAAGGAAAGATCTTGAATCCATGTTTTTATGAGATTTCTATTTGCAATTATCTAGTTAGACGACAAGGGAATGTTTGACGAAGACAGCGCATATAAACTATCGATGAAGGAATACCCTGATGACAAAGAAAAACTCGAGAACGCGAAAAAGTTGTTCGCGTTGTGTAAGCAAGGTAAGAGAATACAATGAGCGAATTTGACGCCGATAAAAGGATATGCCGTTAGGTATGTGCTACGCTAAAACTTATTTTTTTATGTTAGTTTTGTCTATATTTCACGGGTGTATACAGAAGAAATCCACGCGTCACCAGCTTAGAAGTAAACGATACGTCAAGTCGTAGTAAAAAATAATTTAATTGGTATATTTTTCGCGTTTGGAACCGTTAAAAGTAAGAAATTACAATTTGATAATCCGTCATACATGTAATTATTGATTATTTAAGATATTGTCATTAAACGAGAATTTTATCTTAAAGTTTCAAAGCTACTAGAAACAGTTTTGTATAGATGTCATCTAAATATGTTTATTTTATTTAGTAAACGATGCAACTGTGAGCGACGGATCAAAAGGTTGCGAACGCTCCTCCCTTCTTGCAACATGTTTGATGAAAAATGCTGCACAGGTAAATATTCATATCTTTTATAAAAGAGAATAGATAAGCATGGAGTTTAACTGATGTAAGGTTAAATATGTACAACACCTAAACAAGATGCACAGTCCACATAATTAGACATTGGACATTCGCAAATTTACAGATTAAAATGAAAGTGCGGATTTATACTTCACGGCTTTCGTTATCGGTGGCCGGACGCATAGTCTAACAAGTATCTTTTAAGCTCTAAATTAATTTTTAGAAAAATATTCAACCCGATGGTAATCGAACCCACGGGCTGCTAATTATAATTTATAAGCCCTACATAGCAACCACTGGGAAAAAGGAACTCTACAAATTCATGCTTATTTTATTTTAGTAAAATTTATTTCTTTTCAGACTGGATTTGTCTTGTAAGAGAAGAAGGATTTGCTCAAATTTTTATGATGTTTTTTAAGTGTAAAATAAGTTGGTATTATATTTGCGGTTATTATTTACACTAAGAAAACTTTTAAATATTGTTTACATAATATTTTCTCATTAAGTATTACACCAGTTATATTGTATTTGTTGTTATGATCTTCAGTTAACGATACATATGTCAGAATTCATAGAGCAGGAATACAACCATGATTCACTTGGAGGAAGGCGAAATAGCCCTTACATATAATATCTTCAGCCCTTCGTAGACTTGAATATCCAGATTTCCTGACGAAGTCCAACATGTTTCAGAAAATTCATAAATAGATTAGAAACATGTTAGATCCAGCGGGAATCGAACTCACAACCTATTATGCCCATACAATGCTACCATTAGACCAATGAGCCATCAATGTAAGCAAACTTCAAAATAAAACGCCACTTCGTATGCTCAATAAACTTTATTTTTAAGGAGAGATTCATACACGAATTCTTAGAGGATTAGTTGATATTTTGTGCAAAATATTTACAACCTAACTCATAACTACAACATAATTGAGACGTACATGTAGGTAAAAATTTGTAATATTTCGCCATCTTGGTCTTGGTATTTAACTATTGAATATTATGAGTAAGATTGTAATAAATGTATTGCACAACAAACATTAATTAATTAATTTTATACGGCTATCGCGGCCATTTTGCGTTGCTACTTAGGATTTTGAGGTGTTCGTCTGTCGAGGTTAATAAAAATTCCCACTTAAGACGAACAGCTCAAACCGCAAGCAGATAAACATACTTTTAATATACGTATAAAATATACACAAACTACATATTAGTACGAAAATAATCTATTTATTACTTTATCTCTTCTTGATATTTACACCAATTTGTTTAATACACCGCATTGGCACCCATCATTAACCACTAAGACAATTACAAGATTTAAATATCAATAACATATGGCCACGTTTTCCATTTCAGGGTTCCGCACAAAAGGTCAAAAAGACTTGTCTGTGTAGAGAACACGTAAAATCTATCCATTACCCGACAGTTGAAATAACAAAAAAGATAAAATTTGTGTGCATAGACAATTGTACGGAACCCTTCGTCACCGAATCCGGCTCGAACTGGCCGTTTTAAACTAATCTGAACCTCTCATACAGCCGAAACTAATATATTTGATTAATTTCATTTCGAATTCTATTGAGCAAATTAAAATAGGGACGGTGCTACTAAATAGAAATAATAAAATCCTAAATATTTACTAATCTAATCACAAAAAACAATTGGTTCTATTTAGAGTAGGACTTATGTTTACGAAAACAAGAATTTAAAAGATTTTTAGTAGAAAAGCGGTAAAAACATTGAATAGTGATAGTTATGTACAATATATTACATAACCAGGGTAATTTTTACTGTTTTTTTTCCTAATATAAAAAATCGTTATCTATTTATCTGGAAACAAAAAAAGGACAAGAAAGTTTACTGACCGTGCTTCATTCCACCAGTACTTAAAAGGCAAGATAATCAAAACATGCTTTGTATTTTTATTGTACACACAAATAATAACTGTGGGATACGAATTTTACTTACAGCCCAAGGTTAGAAGCTGAACTTATGATACATTATTGATTACATAGGATACACTACACCACACTTAAGTAGATGGTAAAATAAGCTTTTATTCCCTAAGAAACATATTACTATTTAAGTTTTGGAAAATAATTGTTCTTTTCAATAATGAATTTATCAGTTTTGCACTAAACAGTATTAAAATACTTGGTCCTTCAAGCCGGTACAAACGCACATAAAATATATGCTGTTAAGAATATAAAACACACATTTTGATTTTCTATTGATATGTTCGAACGACTTATTTCTGAAATAATGACATTTCAGAAAGAAGTCTATAGTATGTTAAGCTATAATTTGTTGCACAGCGAATAAAGGTCTTAATATAGTAAACTCAAGTAACTACAATTATGAGGTGATCGGTGATTGCAACTAGACTAGTGAGGGGTGATTACAATTATTATGACAAACCATGTACTCGCTTATAGAAATATAATTTTCGGGCTCTTATTCTTGAGGCCTAAATTTACTTTTATATTTATTACATATACAAACGATATATAGGCCTTGCAGTCATTTAGAGCACGAAATTTAATAGAAAGAATATGAATAAAGTGCTCATCAAAAATAAAACAACACAAACGATAAAATGAGGAAACGTAAATATATTAGATAGACAAGACTTTATACTTGAAACAGAAAACAAAATCCATTCTCAGCCTTTTGTTTATCACATTTACAACTTTCTAAATGAAATTAATATTATCTGTAATATACGAAAATTTTAAAATTAGCCGTGAACGAAACTTTGCGATCTACGAGCAGCGTGCTTGAAGCTACATACACCTTAATATATAAAAATTTGGGCAGTCATTTGTAAAACGGGTAACAAAAGACAAAATCGTGACAAAACAGCTGTTAAACAATGCTAAACGTAACTGAAATAAAAGGATTAGCATAAAAATTTAGCAGTTTTAGCTTAACCACTTGTTTCTTCGTGGCATTAAATCGGATGAGCACATGGCAATCATTGTCCACTACTCGATAAGGACGAGCTGTCCTTCGGCGAGGTCCTGATGTTATATGCTATCGTAGCTGTTAGGGTCCGGTGACGTGACGGGGCCTGCACCCCGCGTTGGAAGCTTAAAGCCATTGATCCCAAACGCCCAACCGTCCTGAAATATACACATTAACTTTTATGATTTGGCTAGAAATATACACAGAGTTGGGACAGAAGTCTTTTTTTAAAATTGACAAGACTTTGTCTAATCCTTAATCTAAATCATCATAAAACTTTAAAAATAAATGAGAAATGTCGAAAGATGAAATGCTATAAAAAATAATTTATAAACATAACAATGAAAATTGAACCGATTGTGTATTCCTGATCTGTTTTCATAGATACTAAAACATAGATATTTAAATTTTTTCAAAAGCTTTCTACTGTTTGAGCTTAGTTTTAATACTAAACTAAATCACAATAATGTGAAATACCTTCACGAGATTTGGTAGATCAGTCCAGAATGCAAGGTTCGGTACAACTTCTAGTCCTGTAGCTCCCATTAGGAATTTCTTTGTGCAAATTCCGAGGACTAAGTAGAAGATCACACACGAAAAGAAGATTATCAATAGAGTAGAACCGAGAGATCTGCCTGATTCTTCGATGGTTTGCAGGCAGGCATATCTTGAGTAGAATGCTAGCACCTGAAAGATTTTTGTAGAGATTATTTAAATAGTAGAATTGTTGATAGGAACTTCAAATATCATATAAATATAGTGACAGAAAACTGTTTTTCATGTTACGGTCTTTTCAATATCATCATAATAAATATTCAAAAGAAACTGTACCATGTTTCTTTTCAGGTGGTCTCAAATTTTAAGATAACAAAAGGTAACATCGGTTAATGTCACAAGTGGTATTTTAATGTTTCTTAATTACTTACAATTTTATTTGGGTCCAACAGCGAGAAAACACTTAGATCACCTTCAGTTTGTGCACATACAAGCATAACTATAGTTGAACTGGAAATATTAAAAAAATATTTATGTTATATTTAGTTAGCAACTCCTAAATAATCTTTTGAGCTTCTTATTAAAATGTGATAATTAGAAACAAATCCAGTGAAGAATAATTGTTGGAGATTTTTCAAAATCTGAAGCTCTAACTGACCACCTGAACTGTACATCTTACATATTTAATTAGTGATAATACCTAACATAGTCTGGAGCATTAAGCTAAAGAATTTCTTAATTAGAAGAATAAAAGTTTTTACCTATGATTCTTTCCCAATGCCAGGCTATCAGGAAGATATACATAATGTTAGTTAAAAGGTAATTAGTACAAGTAATACAGTTTATTAAACCATAACACTAAGGAACTTAAATAGAAAATTCTTTGCAGAAAAGCAATTACAACCAATTCTTTATTTAAAGAATTATTTTTTTAACAAACTTTCCATGACATGGATATTTTAAACTTAGATATTTAATTTTTATAAACCGCATTTCTATATTACCTCAAGTTTTCCATTCCTGTAAAATACCCTCAGTCATTTTAAAGCACTGTAATAGAATCTACATACATAGACAAAATCATTCCTATATTATATTTTCCTCTATATTACCCTCGCCATGAAGAGGCAATTAACTGTACAAATAAATTGGTTATTTGTTATTAATGTATAGATTACCAAAAAAAAGGCTCACTACGAAACCTGTCAAATAATATCATAAATAGGCTGAAAGTATCTAATTACCATAGATTATGTCAGGCCGTAAGTGGTTAGACCACTGAGAATTAATTCATCTATTCTATGAACTGACACAAAACAAGTTTAACTAATGTAAGAATATTTTCGACCTTATTTACATGGATAAACTTACTTCCTTTCTTCATTTAGTAATTTTATCCTTTTACTTATCTACCTCAATAATGTCTTAAGTATTATTTCTTTCAAAATAAATTTATTACTAAGACATATATGCCAAAAAAGTACAAACGAGTCAGATGTTAAGAATGTATAAGTGATTCCGTTGTGTAATAAAATTATAGTTGAATAGGAAAGTTTCTGCGTAAATATGAAAAGCCTCCTGTTTGATGCAACAATGAATTTATTTACTTTAAGTGATTGTGTTTATAAGATGAATACTATGTATGACTATAGTTTATTCTTTATAATTGATCTTATTAGTTATGTAGATAACTAATTAGTAATTTCATTAATAAATTTCAGAGCTGATGTCTCACAAATTCTTTAGCTTGTAAAAATACATGTTTTCTACAATTTAATTGAAAAAACCTCTAAATTTCTTATAATCAATAACAATGCAATTAGATTTTAATAATTTCTTATGGGGGAATTAGTACTGTACTGTAGAATAGTAAATTAGTAAGGCTTTACTATAGCAATGTTATTATATACTGTCTATAGTTTACGGAGTAGTACACATTTATATAAAACACTTTAACGGTTTAAAACGGATATATTAGTTAAACTTATTTGAAAATTAATTTATTTTTAACTTCGGCCCCCACGTTTCAGATGCTTCTCACTAATGTATGGAGTTTTAAATTTAAAGTGTTTTATTTAAATTTATTATAGCTAGTATTATAATTTTGTTATACTGCAAGGTCACGGAACAGTCCCCATATACTGTAGATTTCACCCATTCCTGTTTGCATAGGATATTTGGTTATCCAACTCTCACTGTGTCCTATCTAATTTTACTTTATTATGTACTTATAATTAGGATGTATATAAAAGAAATATAGCATTTGTTCATATACTTACGATGGGATATTTGAGTAAATTATAGATTTTCCATCTGAGCTAAATGCTGATGTATTAGTGTCTCCCATCTTTTCGTAAAGACCTCCATCAGAAACAAATCCATTGATTGTGGAGTTGAAATTGAAATGATCTGTGTGCCGGCATAGCTGGAAGCAAGGGTATAACAAATACAATTTGTAACATGTTATACAAAGATATTTACATACTAGAGATGCAATGTTAAGTTTTTATTACTCTATAGAATAACTAAAGGAAATTATTTACTTTAAGTTTGAAGAGTGTGAAGTTTACTTGATCTGTAAAACATGAGTGGTAATATATTTACCGCTGTGCCATCAAAAATATTTGAAATTAATGAACATACTGCATAAGAGCAAAACCAATATACCACTAAATAACTATAATAAAATACTAAAGAAAGCTTAGAATACATTGTTTCCTAAATAATGTATATGAAGTACTTATTTAAAAAAATTTAAATATCACAATAGAAAATGTATAACATTGATACTTTAATAAAGTAAAAATTGTGTCTGCCAAGAGCATAAAGCACAATGTTTAAACAAATGTTTTTCATAATTTTTTTTCTACTGATAATGTTACAGACAATACCATTAATATAACATGTCATTAGTATAATGAGCCTAAAAGTATTTTCTTATAAAAAATGTTAATATCAGCAAGGTGACTTTGGATTTATCAATTAAAATATTACATTAACCAATACAATTCCTGTACATAGTGGGTTTTTAATACAAATATTTGGGTTGTTCTCTAGATATTGGTTTAACAAAACCTAAATTAATAATGATCAATCAAATTTGCTTTTGCTTGTCTAGTATTAACCACATTACTGAAATAGTGCAGAAATCTTACCGACAATGGACTGTCGCAACCTCCCGGTTTCGAACTGTTAACACTCGGTTTTATATCAAAGCATGGATGATAGTAATAGGTACTAAGAGCATACTCTGCGCCACTCATCTTCAGCTCGAAGGTCTGTGTCGTGTAGAACGTAGCTTTAGCAGCTGGAGATATGTCGATACCGGTTCCATTTGAAAATTCACAAGTGCACGGCCCTTTCTTAACGCAGACATCTTGAGCTCGAGCAAAATTTATAAGCGAGAGGCATAATAAAAAACCAAGTGGATATAGTGGGGTCATTTCCAAATTACGATGAATTACTATTACGAAGGAATTCGGCTGCGCAAATGTTTCACAATAGCACTGAATATATAACGCAGTTACATACAACGAATATGACTATATATTTTTCTCATCGCGTAAAATACGTATAAGAAAAAAACGTTTACAATATAAAAATACTTCAAGGAATTAAAAAAATACGATATTCAAAATAAATCTTAAAATATTTGTTAAATTGTTGGAGGAGTGGAAACTTGAGTGTTGATTTCGTTTTGATAATCTCACCAAATCTGACGTTGAACTTTGAGGACGTTTGATTGTCAGTGAATGACATTCAGTTTCATAATTTAAACCCTGTTTATCTGTTACTTGAACATGGTGTCTTGACCATTTGTCAATTGTCTGTGGCTGTATTATTCGATATTGAGTGTTATCCAACTGCAATTACAAACTATAATATAAACTATAAACTTATACATCTTTCTTTCTACCACTCATTAAAAGTATAGTTAAATTAATGATTTATATTGTGCACGTGATCCATAGCTTACAATTATTAAAAATGGGCCAAATCCTTAAAGAGGGTATAGTGTGTAGAAATAAATATCTGACTTTGTAATCATCGATCACTGTATTAGTGATCGATGTTTGTACTTTATCATTGCTTGATATCCATTTCGGCCAATCGCGATAAGAGAAAGAGAAACTATATATTGATTTGTGATTGTTTTGAAAAAGCTATGAGATAAAAGGCTTTAAATAAATCTTATTTTTGTCACTTAGAAATCAAATCGTTCATAGCTGAGATCCCTGAAGAAGTAAAGTGACGAATACCCCAATTTCTTACAATGGCAGATAAAAAGAAAAAAGTTATAATTACTAAGGTTTGTTATAGACAAATAACCCCTATTATATTTTATTTTAACACCTCGTTGATATAATAACGCTTTGCAGGATTCTCCAAATATTGCAACGCCTAAGCGACCTGTTATCCTAAAATCAGAACGCGAAGTTAAAGAAAAAGATAAAACTGAAAAGGAAAAACAGCCGACTATAATTTTAAAAACTCGGGAACAAAGTACACCAAAAGAAGACAGACCTATAAGCCCAAAAACTCAGGCTGCAGATGATAGCCATCAACCATGTAAGATAGCACAGAATGAGTCTAAAGAGAAAAGAGGTAATAAACCTATTAAACATTTTACGGTAACTTATGGGTGTGCAGACAACTTCGTAATTTTGCTACAGCACTAGTCTATCTCATGTTGTCAAATGGCAATGGTAACCAGGATAAGGATGTATAAATTCAATAGTTAAATTTTACTTTTCCTCAGTTGTCCGGCTGGGGTGTATCCACACATACTGTGATATTAAATTGTATAATAAATAATTTGCCAATCTGTATATTTCCAGAAGCAAAACCATGCATACCATTAAAGCTGATGTCAGAACCTGTAAAATTGCTGGATGAAAGCTTAGAATTCAACCCTGCAGCTCTGGAATATCTAAATGACAATAACACAAATTATTTAGTTGTTGGGGTCATAGGTATGAATCATTACTTTTTTATGTAATCTGTACATATTTCTTATGATTGAGAGTATATAGTACAAAGAGCTTGTTTGTTTTCATACACATAAAAGCCTAAAATAGGTGTAATAACATCCTTGAAAAATTGAGAAAGTATTTTTCTTATAGATTAAAGCAAACACAATTGTGTGTCTATTTTGCGTATCAATCCTGTAATATTCTAACAAGAAAAAATCTCTTACCCATTTTTTATTCAGTAATGTACTTATTATTATTTCTATTTCCAGGCATGCAAGGTGTGGGTAAATCACTTGTATTAAACCTTATTCAGAACATTTCTAAGGACAATATATGTAACAAAATTATTAATTCTCACAAAATGACAGATGATACAAATATCGAAAGTCAAGTTGAAAACTTAAACCTAAAAGAAAAGGAAAGAAAACACGACCCGTTTAAATTTAAAATGCAGAATATAGATCAAATAGAGAAAGGTGTTCATTGTACTAAAGGTAAATGTGAAGGATATAAGTAGCTTATTTTGTCCCATTGGTTTAATGTAACACATGTTTAATAATCAACGGGTTATGGATTCAATCCGCACTGTGTCTAACACGTTTCTAATAAATTTTACTGAAACATGTCGGACTTTTCTGGAAACTCGAATATTAATGGGGTGGTAGTAATACCTTAAATCCTCGCCACGAACCACCGCCCCATGTGAAAAAGCCCTGAAAATTAATGATGTTTGCACATCTTACTAAGATATTTTATGGCCGTGTTAGTTCACCTCCCAACTAGTAAACCTCCTACATGTCTCTTTTATTATAAAAAAACAGAAGATTAGATTTATGAGTTCTTCCCAATTTTTAACTGCTTTAAACGGAGAAATTTATTTATTTATTTATTTACAGAAATCCTTACAGCTAAACGTACATGTTATTTTGTAGTTAGGCAATTAATTACGCCAATTACAAGGATTTACAAATAATAATTTAATAGGATTACCCAAGTGACAAGGTTCTATATTATAGGTGAATAAAACGAGAACTGAATTGACGTATCCAGGGATGGGGTGTGTTTTTTGTATGCATGTGTAAGTGTAAGTGAATGTATGTTCTTATTTTTTAAAGGTGCTAATTAGGGCTTTTTTAAAGACTGGGCGTGAAAGATGAAAAATATCTATGGATGAAAATTTTTTATTGTAAATATCGGGCAGTCGGTAAAGAGGGGAATGTTTCAAGTAAGAGGTAGAAGCGTACGGAACGTAAAAAATATTTGTATGTCTAGTGCGAAGGCTTGGGACTTGAAAGAAAATATTACGCAATATGTCCGGGCAGTCAAGTTTGTTATGGAGAATGTCGTAAAAAATCATCATGTCTATTATATCTCTTCTGTCTTCTAGAGTGTTAATATTATGATGTGCACAAGCTTCGTTATAATTATTAGTTTTGTATTGAGTTAAAAAATTTAGTTTCTTTATAAATAGTTTTTGAACTTTTTCCAACCTGTTTATGTGACAAAGGTAGTGTGGCCGCCAGATAGGACTTGCAAACTCAAGAACACTTCGCACATAAGCAAAATATAGAACTTTTAAACATGAGATATCATTGAAAGCGTCAGTAGTGCGGAGCACAAAGCCGAGGGTTTTAAATGCCTTTTGAGTTATATTTTCAATATGAATATTATGTGTTAGTTTGGCGTCATGGGTAACACCTAAGTCGCGTATTTGCTCCGTTTTTGGTATAGTTTGTCCGTTTAATGAGTAGTTATAATCTAGCACACCTTTGAGTTTACGAGTCAGTTGTATAACTTTGCATTTAGCGACATTAACTGAAATTTTGTTTAGTTTATAGTAATTGGATAACCTTAGTAAGTCGTCTTGAAGCTTAAAGCAGTCTTCCAAGCTACAAATTTTTTTATAATTTTTTTTGTCATCTGCGTACAAAACAAAATTGGAGTTATGAAAACAGGTTCTTAAGTCGTACAAATAAATATTGTAAAATAAGGGTCCAAGGTGTGATCCTTGAGGTACGCCGGAGGTAACATTGATAAAGTCCGATTTAAAGCCCCCAAGTGCCACACGTTGACAGCGATTTGTAATATAAGATTCTATCCATCTTAGAAGATTGCCCCTGATACCGACTGAATAAAGCTTCTGTAAAAGTATGAAATGATCCACAGTATCGAATGCCTTTTCAAAATCAGTAAAAATCACATCTATTTGTGTATTATCGTTAATGTCGTTTTTAACGGAATGAGTAAATTCAAGTAGATTACTTATTACACTTCGAGATTTAACAAAACCGTGTTGATTACTAGGTATGCATTGTTTAATGTGACTATAAATATAGTTGTAAATAACTTTCTCCAACATTTTACCGACTATATTTAATATTGAAATACCTCTGTAGTTTATTACATTCATTCTAGAGTCTTTCTTATAAATAGGGGTTAGTTGAGCCTCCTTCCACTGTTTAGGAAAAATTCCTTCATTAATCGAACGCTGAAAAAGTATTAATAACGGCGTTATGAGGCCAGCTTGACTTCTTTTTAAGAAAACTCCCGGTAAGCCGTCCGTTCCGCAACCCTTTCGATCATCTAAATTTTTGAAAGACGTTTCTAAACATTTTTTATCTATGTGAATTGTGTAAAGGCTACTGGCAACGTCAGATTCTTTTTCTAAGTTCAAATCTCTGTATACAGACGGCTGAAACACACTTTGAAAGTATTCGTTAAAAGCGTTACAAATATCTTGGCCGTTTGTTAGAGGACGTTCCATATAACACATATTGCGAGGAATTCCAGAATCACAACGTTTGCTTTTAACATAATTCCAAAATTCTTTAGGAGACTTTTTTATACCATCTTGACACCTGGTTATATAATTAGAATATGCTTCAATTTGTAATTTTTTTAACCCGTGACCTTAATAAGGAAAAAGTTGCATAATCACTCAATCTTTTAAAATTCTTCCACTTTGTATGATATTTATGTTTTTCTTTCAAAATATTAATTAACGCGGGAGTATACCATTTAGGGTATCGATATCGAGTTGAAACTTTGGCTACTGGAATATGCAAATCTATGAGATTATTAACAATGTGGTAGAAAACATTTACGGCCTCCTCAAACGGAGTAGGAACTAAAATATCGTACCAATTTACAGACAATAGCTTAGAATTTATTGCATCGTAATCACCCTTAAAAAATTTCTTTAGAACTTTAATTTTTGGCGGTAAAGGTTTTAAGAATATATCTTGAATAGTTATCTTTAAGGGAATATGAAATTGGTCAATGTTTACCAAAGAACTCCGAGATGTAGTGCACTGAATAAATAAATTTGATAAGACGAGGTCTAAGGTGTTGCCACGGTTATTTGTAGTTAGGTTATATTGAGATATTCCCATTAAGTCAAAAATATGTAAGAGGTTAAAGGCGGCCTCTAGGAGATCGGAATTACAATGTTTCGATACGTAGTAGGTGTGATCCTCCCGCCACGAAATGAAAGGTAAATTGAAGTCGCCTAATACTAGATAGTCATCCATACTATTTATGTCGTAAAAATCTTTTAATGACTTGCTTAGCTCATTAAACAAATAAGTAGCTTCAGTATTTGGAGGTATATAAGAAGCGATAATGTGTAGATTTTTGGGATTGCCCCTCGAGTGATTATTGAAAATCCGGTTAGGAACTGTAAGACAGAGACATTCCACTTGGTTACAGATAAATTTATGAGAAATATGTGCGTTAAGACTTTTTTTAATACATATTAAAACACCGCCGCCTTTTTTCTTATGTGTCCGGTCAAATCTGAATATATCATATCTATTATCACAGATTTCTGTGTTCAGTATTCCATCGCATAACCAACTTTCTGTGATAACAATTATGTCGTAATTATACATTTCGATGTTTCTGTACAGAATGTGCAATTTCGTGCGTAATCCGCGAGTATTCTGATAATAAATATTAAGGTTATGTGTCATATGAGAAATATTAGTTATGTTATATCTAAATATATTGTAAGAAAGCGCAGAAAAAAAGCGGGATTACACAAGTTATCACCATAAAACACACCTTTGGTGTAAATGTTGACATTCCTTTTGTTATTATTTATTGTACAACAACATACCACATCAAAACGGTAAACAAAACGAGGAATATTTGAAATTATTTTGCAGGTAGACTCCAATTTAAATACACTAATTAGAAATTGAGTATAAATATTTGCAATACGGAGGGTAGTTTTAAATTGTGTGTGTGTTATAACTTTAAATATAACAAAGATTGTTATCTGTAGAATGACCGACTTCAGAGGTACAGAACATTTTTCCGCGAGTACAGTTAAATGTTTTATGATTTGAATGAGAAATGCGTAAACGGTGTATATATTGAGTATGTACGTGTTAGGCTGGATACGTCTTAACAATGGTTTAAATATTATAAAAAGTAAAGTAAAGTTATGTATTAATACACTTGCACTGACTCTAAAAAAGCACACAAGTCCTCATTAGAAGTGATTGCTTTAGGCGGAGATTTTTCGTTGCGGCGTACGTAAATGATGCAGTTCTTTACCCAAACGAATTTTATATTGTTTTCCTTGGCTCTAAGTTTACACGTGTTAAGGAGGATTTTGTTGGCCACAGTGAGATGCTCGTTGATGAAGATTTTGAAGGACGTATCGGTAAAGCCCAAATCATTTGAATTAATACCTTTCGACTTGTTATGTTTCTTGAAATTAGCCAATAGTTCCTCCTTACAGCTTCTGTTCTTGAGTTTCGCTACAATTTTCTTAGGAAGGCCTTGCTTCTGCTTTGTAGAATGAACTCTCGTTATAAATTCAATATCATCGGCAGCAATATTTGATCCGATAGTAGTGCCAACACACAAGAGTAAGTTGACCAAGTTCTCATTAGACTTTTCAGGAATGCCCACAAGTTCAACGTTCAGGAAACGACATTTTTGTTGACTAACCTTATTCTCTTTATCTAAATTAGCCACGATTTTTTGAAGATTATCAACAATTGCAACGTTCTTTGTAAGTTCCTGGTCATACTTTTTTTGTTTATTTTCAAGCGTGATTATTTGGGTCTTAAGGCAGTTAAAATCTTCCTTTAGAGTTTCAACGAGAGATAACTTTGCATCAATGTTCTCTAACCTACTATAGATATCCTCAATAACGTTCATGTTGATCTTCGAAGTCAGTTCATTTAATTCGCTGCGTAATTTATCGACATGATCTGGTAATGTGGTTAGCGGAGTGAGCATATTTTCAATCCTGTTTAGCTGAAATTGATGTGATGTTATGTCGGGTTGGCTAGTCGTAGTTTTAGAACTTCCCACAACATGCACTGGACTTTTTCGACACTCAGGACATATCCACGAGTTCTGCCTTTCGCTTCCAAGTCTGCGCCAACCAACTTCAGACAAACCAACACAAAAGTAATGATATGTTTGGCGGCATCCAGAACACAAAGCTCCATCCAAAACGCTTTCGTCACAACGCTTGCACAGTGAATCCATACCAAATGTTGACGACACCTTTACGTTACAATAGGCGAGCGAATGAATAAGTGAACACGTCTGTGTCACACCGGGGTATGACTGTTACTGTAAATATATTAGTTAACTTATTAAAAATGTATTTACCGTCAGTCCTACTGTAGCCACTGCTACAGCAAAGTAGTAGTAAAAATACACTGTAAATAAGCAAATATATTCCGCTCTTTAAACTGTTAAAAGTGTTCAAACTGAACTTGAGTAACTTAATAAAATAAATGGAAGAAATTCCGAATGAATCTTAGACACAAAAATTACTGAACAGCTTTTAATGAGTAGGCCTCAAAAAGCAATTCCAAAAAACGGGAGATATTGTCTCAAGGGTCCGGTCACAAGTGTTGGCACAGGATGAGTGTATGACCTACATGTATATTGTTTAATCCATGCTTACTGTGTGGTCTGTGTTCTTGTTCATAAAAATAATATAACAATACGTCTATTGCAGGTGTAGATATGTTTGTAACTAGTGATCGAGTAATTTTACTTCGACTGCCAACCGCTTATGGTCCCCTTGCTTGATAGAAACGAATCTCAGCACAGTAACATCGCGGAGTGCGAATATAGTGACAGTGGAATGCCTACAAATAGCTTCATATCTGATGTCAGTCTGTCATGTTTTAATCGCTGTTCAAGATTGGTTCACGGACTATTCGTTTATAAGGTAAATTTTAATTATTTCCGAATCAAACATTAAAAATAAAGGACAGGCTTGTGGGTCTAATGTTAGCAATCGTCATATCTAAGGCCTTCTTACACAAACTTAAAACACTATTAACGGTTTAAAACGCGAAATGTAGATATATTTATAATTTATTTAAGTAAGGTTCACGCGTGACCACGACTACTGCAAAGCATCCGAAACATCGGGCCGTAGTTAATTAATACATTTCGCGTTTTGAACCGTTAAAGTGGATTATTTAAATAAGTCGGTCTGGAAAATATGGTTTATGGTAGGAGTATCAAATCCTGTCCAGAGATGGAAAAGCCATGAAGTGTTCTAAAAAACCATGTATTAATGTCCAAACCAAACATGTTTCATAAAACATTAAATGGTTTAAAACACTACATAGATTAGTTATTTGCTTTGGATTAATTAACTCGGACAGGTCGCGTTTAGACCGTTTAAACTTTGTATAACATTTGTATCATATTTATATTAGTTGTATTGTTTGCCTGTATCAGGTACATCCAAACAGCGGAGATGCTAAAACCATCGCTGTCAGCCTCAAGTGCTAATCAGGAGACAGAATCCCACTCTTCAGGGGAATCTCATCCGCATCTCTTACTCTTGCATAATAGGTGTAACCTGGAAGATTATCTGCCTAACAGCGTCAAGAGCATGCAGGATTTTTATAGGCAAGTCTTTAATATTATTCATACAAAAATACATGTATAAATTGTATTTATGTATATAGCACTACTGTCGTTTAGTCAAGCAACACTAACATTTGATGCTAATATCTCATTCATTTCTCAATTACGATGGTAGAACAGCGTTACTTAGAATTATATTGAATAACGCATAGAGAATATTATAAATATGTATAGGTATCTTATTTATTTACAGACTATTAACGGTTTAAATGAGAAATATATAACGTATTTAAATTAGTTGACGGCTGCTGCAAAGCATCCGAAACGTCGGGCCGAAGTTAAAAATCATTTTCAAATAAGTTTAACTAATATATCGCGTTTTAAACCGTTAGTGTTTTATTTAAAAGTGTACTACTCGCGTAAAAAATAGACAGTATTTAATATATAACGTAATTTATCTTAACTATGACCCGATCTTGGATGCTTTGCAGCAGCTGCGGTCATGGGGGGGTCTGATGATGATTCCTGGTGTCAAAAGCGCCACCTATTTCGTCGTACTTCACATTTTTTCTTATTTTTGATTTGTTTAAAACATTGTTTAAGTACTAGCACTTATCGACTACATTAGAACGATTAAAGCAGATTTTCTGAAAATATTAATACATCAAGTTTTAATTTAACCTGTACATAGTATAACTTCGTCTATACTCTATGCAAGGGGCTTGAGATTACAGCAATGTTATTATTCGACTATGTTTGACTGCGTTTATTAAATCACACCAAAATTATGTTTTCCAGGAAGGCGTTTCAAAGGTCAAACCTGCAATTAAATTCTGGAATGTACCTATACAGTGATAGCAATAAAAACGGCAACAACATTGACAGTATCAGTAAAGCATATAGCGTAGAGATATGTGGTCGTCCTATTAATTTGTTCCTATTGCCTGAAATATATGAGGATTATGGTAAGAAACTTAGTACATCAATAAGATAATGGGGGTCTTGGGTTCGAACCAATATAATCTGCGCAATCTTATCGATTCGAACATATTCGAAAAAAAAAAAAATTACAAACAAGAGTATACTACATTAGGTCACCAAAGAGTTCTAATATTGAAATTCAAAAAAGTTTTCGTTAACAATGTTTCTAACTGGCCAGTTGTAAACATTTTAAGCGTTATCTAGTTATTCATATTATCTGTGCATGTTGTTCTAGTGGCACAGGTACAGTTTTCTCCAAACTTTTTGGCCGGACTGAAGTTGGCGCGACCGCCATCTTGCACATGGTACTGTCAATTTAAAGCAAAATGTCGAGTCGCCCTGCACCCGCGCACCCCCTTTGTCGCAGCTGATATTGCTTTTTTACGTTCTGCGGAACCATCCTCGCCAACTTCAGCCCGGCCATTAAATTTGGAGAGCACTGTACACCCTAACACAAAAAAATCCCGGCTGTAGACAAAATTTATCCAATGACAAAATTCACTACGGGCATAAAAATGTTTGTCCCATGCCCCACAAAATATGATTTTTTGATGAAACCTTTTCGTTTTAGATAACAAAGATATATACAGAGGGCACCCAGCGTTTGGGGAGTTAGCGAAGCGACTGAGATGGATAATCCTGGGTGTGAACAGGCACCAGATAACGAACGTACCAAATATATCAGAGAAGGGCTGGTTCCACTTCTGCAATAAAACGTGGGAATCGATAAAGAAGTGTACATTCTTCTTAGAATATGAAAGATTTTTACCCTAGTTTATAAAGACTTAAATATATTTATTAAGATAGATTTGTTTTCTTATTCATACATATTTGCCATTAATAATCATATCTAATAAAAAAAATTACCGCTCATGTTACACGCGCCTATGTCGCCAAATTTAAAGAATCCAAAATAGATTTTTAATCAATTTAAAGCTACATTGTGCAATAAAGTATAAAATATTAATTGAATGTTTAATTTTATTTTAACTTTCATACTGAAAGCATTGTTAAAAACAACTAAATTAATTTCTAATATAATTCGCGAGAAAAATGTTTTTTTATATGTTTACCATTGGCGTTAATTACATATATGTAATATTTTTTTATAGATGAATAAACTATCTCACAGATTAGTGGATATACAAGTCAGTTATCAAAAAAAAAATCAAAATACCTTAAAAATATTTGCTAACGGATAATAAATAATCGTTAATCATTACTAATTGAAGCATCACTATTTATTAAAATAGTTCGAAACTAAAGATACTTGGGCTACAAATAAAACGGCCCAATAAAATTAACAGACTTTATTAAAAACGCAATTTGGACCCAAAGTTACTACTACTTCTACTGGTAAACACTATTTATAAGAGGTTTTCGTCTTTGATCCGGTGGCTTATAAGCGTGTTGATACACACTAGCAAGCCGCCAATGTTCCGGATAGCCTGTCGCGTTCGCGTCCCGCCAAATACTGAACGGCGGGGCCAAAGTCGGTATCGTATAAGACTTTTTTGTGTACGGGTGTCGCATTTTTGGCATCTTGACGCCCTTGGAATCGTTCGTACTCCCGCTCTGAATCGAATTGGGGTTGCCAGCCTTGAACGCGAATTTGTAATCTTCCCTCTGCTTTACCTCCTTCGGTGCTTTGTCGCCACCACAAGAATAGCAATGTTTGTGTCTGTTGTTGTTTTCACTGTCATTCGGCGAGCGAGACAGTTGCGATTCGTTTGGAGAACTCTGGTGGAGTTTGCCCCGCGCTAGAGGTGTTTTATCGTATGATTCTAAGCTATTATTGCGATTAATCCAAGCCTCTTTTATACCCTGGAGTTTGTGAGATTTGGAAGAATCACGACTGGAATTTCTATTGGAATCCGTCGGAGTCCCGCAACCATTGACACCGTCACACTTCTTCGATTCCGCTGAGCTCTTCCTGCTGGACGATTTGGATCTACGTTCAATGTGCTGAGGACAGTTTTGCACATCGCAGACGTCCTTCCTCTTCTCTTTGCTCATGTCCTTTTCAAAATGCGGTACGCTGTGTCGTCCTATGTCATGACCGTTGCGATTTTGATTAAATATGGGTTGAGAATGACCCGTTACGATATCTATTTCTTCTTTAGGTGTGTGCACCATGGTGAATACTGCCGGTGCCATTGATCCGTTAGATCCATCTATATGCTTAGGTGCCTTTGGCTCCCGCCTGGGATCGTCCGTTTTGAAATCCCAACAGATGGCCAAGTCCATGAGTGACAACGGCTTCTTGTATTGCCCTCCCAAATCGGACGTAGCTGGTCTTTGCTGGCGGCTCTCTGTTTCGACTTCCGATTTCTTGGGATCACAGGTCTTTGGTCTATGCACGCGCATTTTTGTACAGCACGTGGGACCAGATGCGCCGTAACCTTTCCAACCTATCGCGTACGGTTTGACCACGATATCTGAATCTCTGTGTTCGCCAACTTTAGTTAAATGCCTGTATCCCAAAGTATCCGGTAATGGTTGGTGTTCTAAATTGCCAGCGTGCATACTCTTAGCGAAATTGAAATGTTGCGATACATTAACGTACGGTAATTTCGGGGTTTCACTTTTCTTCGCGTATTTCATATTAACGGTGTTTTGTTCATTGTTCCTTGCGGTTTCGGCGACTTTTCGCCAGAATTTATCCGTTTGTTTCTCTTGTGGCCCGTGGAGTTGTTCCACTGCGTCTTTTACTAATAGATCGTAGCTTTCGTGTCTCTTATCTGGTTCTGTGGCGGAGCCTGGGATATAGGGGCCGTGGCCTTCGCTGTCTACTGGCTCCAACCTTTTATTCAAGTCTAATGGATCACCATTTTCTTCCTTATCATCACTCTGAATATTTTCATCTACTTGCTTTCCAGCTGTACCTATATCCTTAATGTTCAGACATGTAATATTAAACAAAGATTTAGTAAGAAAACATTGTAAAGAGTATACAAAATCATCACTTCGTGTACTTCTGTTTCGGCTTATGAATGTGTATAGGGCATTGTTTGGGCTGCAAACAAAAGAAACGTTTAAGCGTTAGGAAACATTTTAAGATAAATATAATCCTCCATTAAAACGGTATGCGAATTGTAAAGCAATATGAAAATAAAGAAAAATGAAAGTAGCGAATAACTGCTAATAAGGATAAAAGGTTATATATATAATTGTCTCATAGTTGATAACTATTATCAGCTATTAAACAGCTGTGGCTGTTTTCGATGAATACTTTGTTATTATCTTATCCCTTATCAAACGCATGCAGGTGCACTATCTAATTTTAAAATACTCATTCAGATCGTGACCTTTTTGTTTTTTTTTAATCCCTGCAATATCCTTTGTAAATAATATAAAGTTTTAAGATTAAAAATATAATCGATATAACTTTGAAAACTTACAAACAACTCAAAAAGTTCTAATACATCGTCGGCTTTATAAAATATCACAATTCTATCGTTTCTGATAATAGCGTTACCTTAAATTATTTTATAAAAGATATTTTCGTAAACCTCGCGACATTAAGACCTCCTTATTAGAGAACTTACTTTGAACGACTGATCATCCTTGTCTATGGTCTCTAGGGCCTTTTCGCGCTTCGCACCGCGCACGCGCGTGGCCTTGGCAGCTGCTTTGGGCCTCTGAACTCGGAGATTAAGCCAATCCGGAAATCTGCCATCCGGCGGTTCCTTGGCCAATTCTTCAGCTGAATAATGATTACGCAACGCATTGTACTCGCGTGTGGTAAGCTAATAAGTATTGCAAACTACGCAACGACACGATATAAGGTTACTTAAAGGAATGTTTCCGTTTGTTTTCTTATAACGCATGCTTAAGATATGATGCAACGATTTTTCAGCATAGTAAACATAATAGTGTAATTAATATAGCCTCCAGCTATAGACAGCTATCGTCCAAAAGGTCTATAAGCCAAATCTTTCTTCTTGTCTATAAGTTAAACTAAACAATACATGTAGCCATGATTAGACGCATGTGTATTTTGTGAAAAAAGCTAAAGGGTTTTTGTTTGTTACTACGCGCTAATCTTAGAAACTATAACATATAACAGCTATAATTTATAAAAATGAGAATGGTTTGCTAAAACAAAGTTTGATGCCCAAAATAACTATTCTATGCGGTTCAAGTCGGAGGCACAGCTAGTAAAGAAAAATTATATAACCATATGCCTCAATGCCTGAATCAAAATGTTTACAGCAAAAGTTTAGTAGGATTGAAAAGTTGAACATTATTCATATGCTATTTTGTTAGATGGCACTATATAAATTAAATTAAAAATCGATTATAATTTGACAGAAATTACGACTCGGGCATGCGAAAGATATCAATAGGTTGAAGAAATTCGACGATGACGTGTAGAACTCCTTGGATTAATTTAAAGGGAATCACACGATGTTAATTCTAATAACATACCCACTTTCCTCGTAATTTTCTTAGGCAGGTCCCATGTGCCGGTGTAATGTCCGAAGCATCTCGACGATCCCCTTGGGGCGCCAGGCAAGAAGTGTCCGTTGATGTCGCAAATTGGTTTCGGGTCTGGACGCATTTCGAGGGGGCGAGCTCGCGTGGGCGCCCAGCGAGGGACTTCCCAGTTGCCCAGACGTTTCGGCGTCGATTCTTTATTGAACTGTCACAAGAAATCATTAAAATTTAATCAAAAAGTAAAGTGTCTGTAGCTTAACCGAGTATTACACACTTGAATAAAACACTTTTAACGGTTTAAAACGCGAAATATATTATTGAAACTTATTTACGAAATCAGTCTACTTTTAAATGAAACACGCTTAACGGTTTAAAACGGGAAATGTAGTAGTTAAACCTAATAACAAAGTAAATTGATACCTACATTTATTGTATTTGTGTATAGCAGATATTCGATTTTTTTGTTTTTTTTATTCGAGTTGTTGGAGCCCACGTCAAGATCTCGGTGTGAAATCTAGGTCGTGTCTTGTCGCGAATGGTTAATCGTAGTTTTGATAGCCAATGAACAAAGTATGAGAGCGACGACAGACTAAATGCTAGTACTCAATCAAAAACTACTGCTATTTTCGATTCTATTGCCAGAAAATAATGCTTATGTGTTGTTTGCTGATACAGTATGGCGTTCACTTGACAGTAGGTAGGACCTCCACCATATGACATCTCAACAAGCTGTGTTGTCGACCTATTTGGACTTGGATATTCGGAAATCAAAAGAGTAAAAGCGAAACGCGATTGATCATCTTTTTCATCTTAGTAGATCGGGGACCTGGACGGATTTTTATATGATAAAAGAGGACAGACAAGCATAAAGTTCATTTGATGATAGGTAAAATACCCCAGCCATATAATATATAGACAAGATGCGCTATCGACCTATTATGGCTTTGGATATTCGGAAATCCACAAACAAATTAAATTTCACCGCTTTTTCACCTAAGGACATTTATTTGTAACCCGAACAGAATTTCGATATTTCGACCCCTTAATATACATTTCCATAAGAAATCCAACATGTTTCAGAAAAATTATATTCTTTTACAAACATGTTTGCCCCAATGGGAAACGAACGCACGCCCGTTGACTATTTTTTAACAATACAAAACTCGTGCAAATAATTATGTTTCACGTTGTAATGTTGTCTTGAAAACATCAATTTAAAATCGACAATTCGTACGTCGTTACATCGCTTGATTAAATTTTAATTCAACGGGTGGCGCGTGCGTCGGCCACCGCGCGTGTCACCCTTCACCGAGTAATAAGGAGTTGTACATTTATTATTTATGCCTATGAGGATTTTACAACCGCACATCGTAATATTGGCATCATATTTTTGTCTACGCACTACTGTTCCCGGTCAAACAGATGCTAAAAATGTTTATGAAACCCCCGTGAGATACTTATGTCGAACATATATGTATGTCGGTTTCAGTTATCGATGCTGTTTACAAAATGTTTGTGAAATCCCATTTACCTCTGTTAGGTATATATATCGGACACATTTCTTATCCGATGTTATTTACAAGCGAATAATTCTTCTGTGCTCGGCCCGACTGAAATTCATTGTTAACCAGAGATTCAAGCCCAGAATTCTTCAGGCATTTAAAATAAGTTGTCTGTCTAATTGTAGCATTGTATGCCTAATAATCAACGGGTGTTGGGTTCGATCACCACTGAATCCAAAATGTGTCTAAAAAAGGGATATTAATGTCAAATCAAACAAAAGCACAGCAACTCGTTTGGTTGTTATAAGGCTGGGATATTTCACCTGCTACCAATTTAACGCTATGCCTCTATCATAAAAAAAAATAACACGCACAGAAATCGTACCCACAACAAATGCAATAAAACTACTTATAATTACGTTATTACTCGAGATTTAGAAGTCCTGATTTAAATACTGTCTATAGTTTACTGCGAGTACACATTTAAAGAAAACACTTTAAACGGTTTAAAACGCGATATATAAGTGAAACTTATTATTATTTTATTTTTTTTACTCAAAATCCCAATTACAGCATTATTTGCTACTGTTCCTACCAACTAAGCAAGCATTGAGTTATTTATAATATTTCAACCAATTTACAAACTCAACCTACCTGAAAGATAAAATCATTCTATAAGTTCGTGAATAAAAAATCCATTGTTGGCAGGTGTCACCCCAAATCAGCAGAGGCGTCATAATAATCATCCCCCAATGACAAAGGGGTGGAAATAATTATTTATCCCATATACGTCACACGCCTATTTGCCTACATTTAAATACCAGACATAATTTAGAATTATATTGTTAAGCTCTTCAAAGTATGGCGATCATCGTTAAAAAAAGGATTAAAATACATTTATTTTTTACTCTGTATAAAAATTTATTTGTGGTGGTTAGTAAATCAACTACATAACTTTTAATTTAAACTCAAGTACAAAGTAGCTGCTATGAATGATAGTAGTACCTTTGACTGGCTCCATCATCAGATCTACTGCAATCCTTTATCAAACTATAGTTCATGAAATAAAGTTACAAACAGACTAGTCACCAATTCGAATTTAAAAAGTTTCTCTCGATTTCTTTAGTCTGTGATTATTACGCCGTAAAAATTATCCAAGTGATATATTTCGTGTTTTAAACCGTAAAGTGTTTTATTTCGAAGTCCGATTCATTTCTGTTTCGAATTGACATGACAAACTTTTGAGTACCAGCAAAACTTCGTGAATCATTTTATTTTCATATCATTTTCAAACCAAGGACTTGGATGTTCTATTAATAGTTAAGGTCGCAGTTAGGTAGTTTTCTAGAATCGTATTTTTAGAACCCTCTATGCATGTCCTTCCGGTACACGCAAGCTCTTCTATGAGTTATGAGTTTGGACAACTATGAATTTGTTAAATATAAATTCTCGACATTGCTTCCAGTAATCAAAGAGAAATTAGTTACATAGAACCTGTAATTATATTATATTAACGATACAAAAATTATATTTTTGAAAACGAAATATCTACTATACAACTTCAAGCTGTCAATTTGGCAGTAAAATAGTAGATTCGATTGTTTTAAAATATATATTTTTATTGCATTTGTGTTTTGTCATTTTAGTATTGTATAAATACGAAATAAATCATGTTTTTTGAAACTATAAAGAAAAGACAATAAAAAACTCTTTGTGTACTTAAACGGCAACTATTAACTAAAGACCAATAGACATACGTCAACTGCGGATTAGTATCATACACAAAACCGTGAAAAATTATCATTCTCTCGCAAATAGATTCAGCCCTCATTCAATGGCCCTGCGACCCTTGTGAGTTCAAACGAAATTAAAACTTAATTATTGAAGAAATAAGGGTTAATATCCCTAATGTTAAAACGTAAAGATGTTTACCCTGTAATTGGATGTATCTAACTCGGATTAGAGGAATTAAAATTTGTTGCCAAATAAAAAACGTTTCGCAAAAAACGAGGGGAATAATAATGGGCATGCAGGTGCAGTGGTGTTAAAAATATAGATGGGATTAGATGTGTTGGCTCAACTTGATTTAATGCTTCTGGGCTGGACAAGTGTATGCCCAAATAATGCATAGTTCGTTACAATTTTTCCACAATATTTACGTGTTTTGGTACTACTTGTTATCTGATACTGACAGAAAACAGACAGACAGACTGAAAATCAGCGCTTAGCAAGCCTTGCTAAGTCTTGGTGCTTTTTAGCACATAGTTAGCATTGTACTTTTTTTGTATTCTTTTAATTGTAAGGTTTCTTTTTTATTACTTATTTTAATTGTAAATTATGTACTTTGTGATAATAAACGGATTATTTTATTATTATTTTTTTATTTATTATTATAATAATGTATTTGGGCCTAGTTAGAATTATTAAATTTCGTATATACTCGTAACATTATTTGTTTGGAGAACCTGACTTGTTTTAAAAAAAAACCTTTACGGGTTTAAAACCCAATTTTTTTTTTTAAATTTTTTTTAAATTTTTTTTTTTTTTTTTTTTTTTTTTTTTTTTTTTTTTTTTTTTTTTTTTTTTTTTTTTTTTCCCCCCAAAAAAAGACATTTAATGAACCTGATTGGTTGGTTTGGAGATATTATCTGATTGAAATTCGATACTAGGACTCTAAAGATTCTAAAGAACTACAGATAATATATAGCATAATTGCTTCAACAATAACCTAAACATAGATTCAATACGGTTTAATTTCAAAACAGTGTTGCAACATATCATAAGATTAATATTATTTATGGTAGAGGAGCACAGACAAGCATAGAGTGCATGTATGGTATACCAGACATAGAACACCGCAGATATTCGAAATCCACAAATATACGCTAAAAAGCAATTACATTTTAGACTTTTTCATCTGTAGACAGTGGTTCGTGGGCCGAAAGTCGATATTCTTAACAGCCATAATATCCAGATTTTCAGACGAAGTCTAACATGTTTCAGAATTTATAAATTGATTAGAAACATGGACCCGTTGGTGATAAAATACACGACCCGTTGATTATTAGCCATTCACCTGAGTTTAGACCAGCTAATCTAATCTAATATTTTATGTAGACACCATGATGAAAGCTAAATTCAAATCGCTATTGGTTTGAATAAAAATATAGAAAAGCTATTAAGAAATTGAAATATAATTGAAACCAATTAAACATTAGTAAGTAACTGGTTCAAATTATAGGTAGACACTACAATTCACATGTATTTTGTTTATAATGATTATTAAAATAAAATATGTATTATTTAGTAAGAACGTAAGCTTACCTGTCCACTATCGAAGTTAAAAGCCATTTTCGAAAATCTTGAAGCGGTTTTCCGTAAAAATTTGTAAAACACTATTCTAAAATATCACAGCTATGTCTAAACGTGTCAAAAAAGTGTAAATCCATCAAAACTGTTTTAAATTTTATAGTTTACATGGTTGTCGATGGCCGGAAAGTTGTGGAAAATTATCGGGAAACGCTATCGGCGTAACGACGCTGTCGTCATGGTGATGGAGAAAATTCATTTTCTTGAGTGCTACAAGTTTGTCTAAGACTCGAAACTTGGTTATGGAATTTTATTTCACCAAGTTCCTGTGTAGATATTGATTGATTATAAAGTAAATTGTTATATTTTTTTTATTTTACACCTTCTAACTGTTCTCCATAAGTTCCGTGTTTTATGGTATAATTGTATCAGTATATAATATACAGTTTTAGTAATTATACGTTTTTAATAATACTATTTCCTTATCAAGCATATCTTACCTTTGTTTTTATGTCTTCATATTCAGCCCTGATAAACGAATGAAAAAATATAACAGACAAATATTTTTATATAATTGGAACACGGGACCTTTCTGAAAATAAGGCGCACTTATATGTTGAAATTTTTACTTCATGTATTAAGTACATTCGGTAATGTACATACACGTATGTATACCACTTACTAAGCCTATATTTAGGAACTTAATTACTAGATAATTTCTGAAATTCTATTAGGTTAGGATTTAGAACATTTAAACATTTACGTTATAAATTATAATATCTCCTGAAAAAAGTAGTTTCTCTAATTCACCAGACCTATAGACCTAAAGTCGTATTATTTTTTTTATCGTGAAAGAGGTACATTCAAAAATAAATATTGTCAAGTTGTACGACAATGCAAAACAAATATCAAATATTCCGACGTATTTACAATAAACTGATGAATTCAGTGGGCGTAGTATGAGTTTTAAATAAGAAAAATATAAAAGCCAATTATATTTTTCTTATACAAATTTAAAATAGATTATCTATTTATATAAAGAAAAATCAGTAGGTATAGTCTAATATGAAAAATATTTATAGAAAATTAGCTAAATAAAGTATGACAAAAGATGACGCATTCGGAAAATGAGGAAATCAGGAACTTTTATTGAATTAAACATGTCTTCTTTGTAAGAATACATAACCTCAATACATATGTATTAATTTTAAAATATCATTGTGCAAGAGATCCTTGTATCAACAAATTGAAGAATTGACGAAAGTAGGGAACAATGCTTGGTTACACACGCTGTGGCTGTGTTTGAAGTACCGACGAATAAAAAATTATTGAAAATTAATTGTAAGAATTAGAACACTCAGTCGCGACTTGAGCCACCATCTTCGGCGTTCCGTGTTGCTGCTTTAACTTACGTATTGACGTTTTATATTCTTACAAAGAAGAAGAAAATAATTGTAGACAATAAAAGTTTACGTCGTAATTCCTTCAATTTCTAAGTGCGTCTTTCTTCTCTGTTTGTGAGTTCAGTTCTCTGAGAGGATATTCTTTTACACATCTTCTGTTAGCTTTAATATAGGAAATAATGTTTATTTATTTGTTTCCATTTATAACTAAACTCATACTTAGGTACCGGGTTGCGTGTTTCCTTCCGATGTCACAATAGCTGAATTAAAGTTGCCATGACCTTCTATAAACTTATTTACGTGAATATAACTGTTTACAATAGTATTAATGCTAAAATGGTTATAACACGACATAGAATTAAACGGAGGTCGTCTCCGGCCGGTACACGGAGTTTCGCATAAATTGTAAGCAACTATTAAGAGATATCTTTTGAAAACAATGATAAATTTCGTAGAAAAACTATACGCAGATTAATCCCCAATGAATTATCATTTAGTGGGTTTTTAACATCATTATTATAAATATGTGGACAATGTTCAGTACAAACTTTGCTTGTACTAAGCATTTAATAAGGCAGCTTTGTAAATATTTTATTACATAAACTAATAAATAAACACTACAGCTAAATTTGTTTACCATAACAAAGTTTCTTGCTAGTTAATCATAATAAAGATAGATAATCACACTGTCGCGGACTTAAGATAATTTAAAGAGGAATCAATTTTTTATAGATATTTCTGGTGTTTATTGGTCAGCGTAATAACTTCATAGCCTAGTGCCTTCCTTGATAAATGGTCTATCCAATCCAAAAAGATAAATCGAACCAACAGTTCCTGATTTTAACGCATTCAACAAAACATATAGCTAAAGAGTTTTTCAGCTTTATTAGAAATTACAAGAATGATTGTCTATGGCACAGACACTGTTGTGTCCAAGTAACCTTTAAAATTTTAGAAATAGGCAACTTGTTCTTAGATCAAATTTCTGTAATACATGCCCTACCCGATAATAAGTAGGTGCCTACTAATTTATTATATTTCCGTTATTCGAACCTAGGAATTATTAGTTTATTTCAATGCATGCATATAGTAGGTACAGTGAGTCTCGTAGGAAGCTTAGGAGACATTATTAAAATAAATTATTACGCTTATTTTTAAGGACAAAACGCGATTAAAGATCTCAGATAAGAGTTGCATTTAAGTTGTGACTCGTCGTTTAGCGGGGTAAAGCAAGGGCTTTTATAAAACAGAAATCGTGATACTGAATAAACCTAAGCTCTGAATATTAAAGACCGTTTGGCATGTCAAAGTCAAAGGTCGCGCTAATTGGGACCATTAAAATTCACCGATGTTGCCTAGAAATGTAAAAACTTTGTGAAATTATAAGTTTTTCAATGATTTAAACGGACTAATGTAGTCTGCTAATACTAATAAAAATTAAAGAATCTTAGGATTAAAACGATGAAGAAGTGTGAAGGTCTTTAAGCTCTTCTTCTTCTCAACTCTTCCAGAACTGTAAAGAAAAATTCTGAACGGTCGTTGCATTGGTGATATGAAGTTATCAAGGACGTGGAGAAATTCGGTGTTGGAAATTGGAAGAAAAACGACTAGTAAGTCAGCTATAGGTATTCATGGTGATAAATTGGTGGTACCAATTGTGACATGGTAGCTAAATTGGTAGTGCTACTGATCGGCGCGGTTTGGTGGCAGTCCTGTATGAAGTATTCAATCTAAAACAATTTTTTAATATCTGTCAGGTGCCGTTGAGTAATGTATTCTTTCTACATATTATTTTATTATCTAAGTCATTATAGTATCAATTTATCTTTAAATACCGCGCAATATTGATAAGTAAATGGATTTTTATTACCTACAGATTAGTCAAACTAAATCCATGTTCTACTTTAATAGTGTAGAATTATTTTTTGTTTCTTATCCTATGGTTAATTGCAGAGCAATTTTTTTATGGTAAAGAAGGACAGAGAAGATGCGCTCACTTGAAAAGTGAAGAATCCTATCCAAATAACATCTCAGTAAGATGTATTGTCGACCTTTTTTTAGTTTCGAATTTGGACCTTTATTTCAACTTTGTTACTGGTTCTGGGGTCTTAGCTGTTGGGTAAAAATTGTATAGAAGTATATGGCGAGCATGGTGTACAAACTACGCGTCGCTCAGCGTGCGATGGAAAGGGATATGCTCGGAGTTACTCTGTGTGATCAAATCAGGAATATGAGATCCGTAGAAGAACTAAAGTCATTGACATAGCCCATCGAATTGGCAAGCTGAAGTGGCAGTGGGCTAGGCACATCGCTCGTAGAACAGACAGCCGTTGGGGCAAAAAGGTTCTGGAGTGGAGACCACGAAACCTGGACGACCTCCTATCAAATGGACCGACGACCTGGTGAAGGTCAGCAGGGAAACTCTCGATTCAAATAGCGAACGACCGGTCGTACTGGAAGTCTATGGGGGAGGCCTACTTTCAGCAGTGGACACCGAATGGTTGAATAAATATGGCAAAACGTTTTGTCTTGCCATTGCCTAAAAGTAAGCATTTAGATGAGAATAAACTTAATGAAGTATTTTTTGTTTGCGTCGGCAAAAAAAAACATCGCCGGCGAGACTCAATCCCACGACCAACACCATAGCGTAATTTCAAAACCTGATCTGTGTCAACTTTTTAAACTTAAAAATTAGACTTGCAACGAATAGTAGGGCAGTATACCTAATACCGAATATTCGGCGAGACCCCCATTCGGCCGTAATTCCAATTCGGCGAAACCTGACCGAATAGTCGAAAATTGGCCAAAATTTTGGTGGGTTTTTTTTCCCAATTTGTACAGACATTGTTTCGATCCTTTTTTCAACACTTTAAAATATTATATATTATGTACCAATGACTACCTTTATGATTATAACAAAAGAAATATCGTAACAATGATTTATTTTTCATTTTACCAATTTTTTCTATAAAAATATATTATTTAAGTATTGTTATTCGGCAAAATTGTAGATATTGGATTCGACCGAAACAGCCGAAAGGCCGAATACCGAAAGTAACCGAATCGTTGCAAGTCTTTAAAAATATTAACCAATGGTAATCTTATTTAAAATATGTTTTTTGTTTTCTTTTAAGTCTCTCAGACATGAATATTGTGCTGAAAATGTATCGATTTTCTAGTAACATATTTTCGTAAAGGCTTTCCAAATTATCCGGGTACACCTGCGGCCCGGATCGATAGGCGTGGTCGTCCGGGATTGGTTGATCTCTGCGATGGGCGGAGACGTGAGACACAGACGCTGCATCTTAGCACATATGGCTTTTTAGGGTTCCTTTGGCACGGTGTTAAAGTTTCCCATAAATTTTAAACATTTTTTTTTCATTTAAAATCATATCATACCTTCTTAAATTGTTAAGATGTTTACATATCAAGTAAATTGAAAAAGTATTTAAGAAGGACTACAAAACCTGTAAACCCAGGTGTAGAGTTTTAAGTAGACTTTCAACTGTGTAAAATAAGTTAAGGCACTTTGCAAAGATTCTTTGGTTTTGGCTATTCTAGCTGAAAATTGGTATTAATATTCAGAATATTATTCATGAAGTATGAAAAGTCCCCTTACTTATACGACCGAAAAAATATATTAATTATTCGAGATCTAAAAGCAGTAACCCTCGTTCTTCTCCCCACCCCCCCCCAACATTCACATTTTCCCCCTCAAAATTTTTTTCTTTAAAGTTTAAATCCCCCCCCCCCGCGCTAAAAGCAGTAACCCCCCCCCTCACCCCCCCCCCCCCCCCCCCCCCCCCCCCCCCCCCCCCCCCCCCTGACGAGGTTTTATTGATGGTGAAAGTTTTTACGCTCTAGGGATTCATATAAATTCACCTCTATTTAAAGGACTAATTTGGCTGGACTACAATACCAACGTGTGATATTTTACTTTGACACATAAACACTATAATTGTAATCAACGTTTTCTTCAAATTTTGGTCCACTTACACATTTATCACGGAACTCTGAAATTAGCGCCGCCCTCTTTGACCAACCCCTCTCAGAGGTCTTATAAAGAGAGGGATGCTGCGTTCTGTACCAGTACTGTAACCATTGTACTACTATAACGGCTTCTTTGTGCTTTTATTGTGTAAATTGGGAAAAGTGAACGGCCAATGTGGTCGTGAAAAATTTGTTTTTGTTAATGTAATGTAAGTATTGATTAGATTATAATGTGTATGTAAATTTAAAATCTATTATAAATTGAAAAAAAACTACGACTCGGACCTTAGACCGGCATCCACATCGTTCCGTGCTGTTGCTCTAACCAATGGACCTACTGGGCAATTTATTATCGATTTTTAATTTATATAGTGCCATCATGTGCATATGTGAAAAAATTCAAGAAAAAAATCATAAATTATATTTATATTATAGAAGACAGTTGTGTACCTGTTTTATATATCAAATCCAATATTTTGTTGACTGTAAAATTAGACCTTACGTTTCTTGATGTTGATTACGAAGTTAAATCAAATACATATTATAATGTTAACATAAATAAATGTTAACAAGATTGTAAGAGATCTGAAAGTGAATGGATGTTTAAATAATCAATTTATTTTTCATTGCATCGGTTATAGGTAGGTACCACTTAAGTATTCGGTATTCAGGCGAATAGTATAAGACGCCGAATACCGAATAGTAACCGAATATTCGTTACCAGCCTAGTGAATGTTTGTGTTAAAAATTAGACATGTGCTAAATTTTCTCCATACTTGACCCAATACTTGACGCATACTTGTAGTCGAGTTGAAAATAATAATTGATTATGACTAATCAAGTCAGAAGCTAGTAATTTTTTAATTATTTGGTTTGGCTGAATTTCGGATGAAAGTATCGGTTTAAAGCACGAATTAAAAAAAAAACCTGCACTTACCTGTTCTTATAAAATAGGTATACTTATTAAATAATATAAATGTATACAATTCTAAACTGAATACAAAAATTTTCATGTAACAATATTGCCCTGTAGTAAAAAGCCCTTTCAGTCTCAACGTTTCAGCAACGCTACCAGAGATCCACAATATGCCACATATAAAAACGTGCCCCCCACCTGTGTCCAGACCAATTGTGTAAATTTTTTTAAACAATTGTCTGTCTGTTTCGATATGATTTTCAGTTATAAAAGTCTTACCATTTACCAATAATAAAGAGAAATTCAATTTTCTATTCCGAACACCCCTGTCTTTAAACTGTACCATTCACAAGTTTAACACTTCAAATCCTATCTCCTCGATAATGGCATGTAATTAATGTTCAATAGATCGCTATTAAAATCCCCTAATACACTGTCCTAGAAGAAATTAGTTAACGAGATCTTTTTAGTTGCGGTACCTAGTAGACATTCGAAGAATTGTATGTAGCTTACACCAGTAGTAGATATACATTTAAATAAAACACTTTTAACGGTTGAAAACGAGAAATATCGTTTCATTAATTTATTTCGTTTTGGATGCTTTGCAAAATCCAATCCAATGACTTTACCCGTGAGTTATATATTTTGCGTTTTATACAGTTCTAATGCTTTGATTTAAAAACACGAATCAAACATGCAGTAGAGATATGAAAGAATTTAACGTTTATTTTTTTATGTGAGTAAAGTCTTTATTCAGTTTCAGAGTAGAGTTTATTCAGGGTCGGTTGCGGCCAAAAATATGTATGTTAATAATTTAGTTGTTACGGAGCTTTAAATAAAGTTGAAAAAAAAACGACAAAGAACGGAAAATGATTTCAGTCAATAGATTAGACAGATTTAGACGGTAATTGGCTAAAACTTAAAAAAAAGGTTAAAGTTAAAAACTTATTTTAATTGAAATAATTTTGAAGACACGAGCAGGACTGGTACAGGCATTGACATTAAAAAACATTAAACTTTCAAAGATAAAACTTCTAAAGCCGCATAATCGGCTTCGGTTAAAAGTCGACCACAGTTATAGAAAAAGTTAATATCAAATTAAATAAGAAATCTTTTTATATTACTCATTCAGGCAATGTGGAACCTCATGTTAAAAGTACTACAGAAAAATACTTTCTAATACGAGAATTATCTGAAGAAACTGATGTCATTATAATAAGTGATTTCCTAAATTTGAGGAACATTATAAACGCATTCTCCTACGTTCTTTATGTGGGTAGGTTAAGAAAGAAATGTTACGACCACATCACCAAATCTACAAGTACAACCAAACAGACAAGTGCAAAACAAGAATACCGACGCAATCGATTCGATACGGTTAACAATAATGATTCGATTATGTCGCAGGGGTCGAACGGGGCGATATAAAAAGAATAAATACGGATTTATTATCCCCTAAAGACCTCGCTTAGTGCGAGGTGAGGACGCGGAATGTATTATTTATATGAAACACTCTTACCCTTGCGGCCGGTAAATTTCATTTGATCGGGAATCAAAACATGCTTGAGGCTGAAAGGGTTTCTTTTGCCAGGATGTAGCTACGACTTGACTCTGGAATAAAATGTAACATACTAATGCGCTCAATAAATCTACTACGTATAAAGATTGGGTGTAGGATGGTAATTTTTTTATTGCATTTATTTTTTATAATGCTGCCAAATCTATGGTAATATTATAAAGTTTGTATGTTTGAACGCGCTAATCTCAGGAAGTACTTGTTCGAATTGAAAATTCCTTTATGTGCTAGTTGGACCACTTATCGAGGTAGGGCTACAAAATAAGCTGGACTAATAGGAGCGAAGATACAGTGGAATAAACAAGAAAATTTCTACGACATTTCTATATGTGTATCTTTTAAGATTAACTCACATGAACCGTTTCTATAGATATCAAATTTCGTCAAAATATGGCAAAAGATACAGTTACAGCTGAAACTTAATTATGCAGTAAGTACGTTACTTAGCCATACAATACTTCCAATCTTCCTTAGTTACAAAATAGATTTAGTAATAATGAAACTGTGTATTCTAAAAATTCGGTTACTATAATTTCCCGCCAAAAAGAGTACACAGATAATAATCATTCAATTCTTACAATTTACTCGTTCTTATCTGTGTATGGTGGCCAGTATTATTGGTTACATAATTATTATTTTCTCTTATTTGTTTTAGTAATTAATAGTACATCTGTTTTGTGATATCTATAAGAACTATGGACATAATAGGCTTTATTTTAGACTTAATTTTATATGCATGCGGTGATATATTCGATATTCAAAAAAATATATAAAAATAGACATAGAGATAAATTAAACATCGATTATAAATTGAAAAAAATTACGTCTAGGTCAGGCCTTGAACCGGCATCCACAGCGTTCCGTTTTACTCTAACCAATTGGCTACCATGTCCTACACGTCATGTGCAATAACATGTGAAAAATATTAAAGTTTTCAAATATAGACGAGTGATTTAAGAATTTAACATTCATTTTCTTATTTACTTCTAGAACTTCAGGCCTCCATTATGAAGAGCTGGTTGGAGTCAAGCAGTATGGAAGACGGTTCCCTGCCATGCATGCTGGCTGAAACCAGAGAGGCATTGCTTCCCCTCACTGGCTGTGAAAACTTAGCACCAAGGAAGGGTAGGTTTTTAGGTCATTTAGCGTTGGACAACATAGACAGATAAATCGATTTTGAAACGGAACAACTTAAATTGAGATTTTTGAAGGTTTTTTCAAGCCATTTTATTTTTTCTGCTGATAAGTACCGGACCTGCTTTGCCCGACACAATTATTTAGTCAATTTACCTTAGAATCGAAACCAGAATGTTTATGATCCCACCCTTTACGAAATTCTAAGCAACGCGTTCTGTAACTGTTAATAAAGTAAAATAATTGGTAATATTTATATGAAGTGCTTTTCAACGGTTTAAAACTCGAAATGTATTAATTAACTTATTAACAATTGTGACTACAGCTGCTGCAAAGCATCTGTAGTCGCAAATAAAATAAATTGTAAATAATAATAGATTACACGTATTAAACCGTTAAAAAGTGATTTCTTGAAATATGTACTACTCGCCTATACAGACAATACTTAGTCTGTACTAACTAAATGATGTACTGCAAATGTCTTATCTCAATCATATTTAGAAAAATCATATAATTTTCATTGGATGTCAAGTTCTTATTAACTCCCTAAGTAAATTAAGTTAAGTGAAATTAAATTCCCTAACCAACTTAATAGTTACAATTTACGATAACTGGTAATGTTTTTTTAAACAGAGACAGATCATTGGAACCCTGTACTGCATCCGAAGAATCGTATCTATCAAGCGGTGCTGGATCCCCTTACGCCGGTCTCTCCCGCGAAGAAAGACGACGCAGGCGCCGTGCGACACTAAAATACCGAACTGCGCATGCGACTAGAGAAAGAATACGAGTGGAAGCCTTCAATGCGGCCTTCGCGTCGCTAAGGCGTCTCTTACCGACACTGCCTCCAGACAAGAAGTTGTCAAAAATCGAAATTCTACGTCTAGCTATATGTTACATCGCTTATTTGAACCATGTTTTGGATGCTTGAGTTAATAAGCCTGAGTTTTAACAGAGATTTGAGATTTTATACTGAAAACCAGATGTGTTGATGTCTTTTTTAACAGAGGACACGAGTGAGTGAGAAAAGTGAAAAATATCCCAAGGCTTGATATATTTGGGATATTTCCACTTTTCTGAAGCATAGTTTGCGGTAAATAAAAATTAGTTAATAATAATAATAATAGATAAAAATATGGGATTAAATATTGGTAGTGATAAAAATACTGATATTGTCTGTGTCGTTGCATATCAATAGACAAGATCTCTGTCCTCTATGGAAAAAATGCTGTTTCGACACTATGCATATATTACAGATTCCATGCAAAAAATATTCCGAAAATTATTTTTACTCATATTTAGAAAATCTCGCCAATAGAATAACATTGGCTCCTAAGCATAAATCGAATAATTTACAATCGATTACTTATAGTTACAATATCTTCTTATAATTGTAAATTGTGACTTTTCAAGCTATGTTAGACAAGGTATATTAAAAACATATTTATGCCACTCTCAAGGCATTCCAATACCGATTGTAAATACGTATTAAATATTATCTAGTCATTGATCTCATTTTTGTTATTTCTAAATGTTAATTATAAGCCTACACAGTATTACCGTGATGTACCTAGATTAATATGCATACTAATAATTAAAAACCTAAAACATCTTTTGAATAATCAAACAAAAGTGTATATAACAAGGAAGTTTTTATTAAAATACATGTTAATTTCGAAATAATTGTATTTATTATCATATAACTTTTAATGTATCACTACATGTAATTTCCTTTTTTCAGGTGTACAGGTTTTTTTCTTTCGACTCCCGATATGTTATAGAAATATGTATGTACGATAATTTTCTTTCCGTTTTTCTTTTGTTAATTGTTAATAAATCGTTCTGAATCTTGAACTTTTAAATTTCTAATAACTGAAAACCGATCCGTGAAACGGACACAAAAATATGTTCGCCTCACGGGGGGAAACCGGATTTCACTTTATTATGTTGTATAAAATTATTATTTTTTATCGGGAGTTACAAATACTTAAGTTAATTTGAAGTAGAATTATTATTGTCCAATATATAAAAATAATGCACTAAGTAGATGCTAAGGTATTGAAAACTATTTTTTTAAGTAAATTAAGAAACAGTTTGTTAAAACATTTTTAGTCTCTTTATTACATAGTATAAAACAAAGTCACTTTTTCTGTCCATATTTCATTTAAAATTAAATCTTCAAAACTTACGCAACGAATTTTGATGCCTTTTCTTTAATAGATAGAGTGATTCAAGAGGAAGTTTTTTATATATAACATTCACAATTTTCCGTCGTGTCTTTAGTAACAGCACCCGAGCGAAGCCGGAGCGGGTCGCTAGTTTTTTAATATGAAGGACACAACACCAATTTTTGCAAGCAATTAAAGTCACTTTTCAAATTATAACATTTATTCCCAGATCCCTATGCTAATTGCTTTCGACATTTAACAGAATATTAAAAAAAATCTGCGTCTACATAATATCATAGTTTACATACTTTATAAGGACTTAATTATATTACTATTTCCCTGAGGTTGTAAAAGTAACGAAAAGTTCCTATTGCAAAATGATTGGTAATGTTGTTCGTAATTGATCAACAACGACATGATTATCTGTACCATTATTACGAAAGTGTACCATTATTGAGATCACGCAAACTTAAATGTACTTATTACATTCGTTAGATTTTGTATTTTAAATTGTTCAAATAGCTCAAAAGAACCGGGAAAAATACAAAGCCATGAAGGAAACCTAATATTACTAAGCTGAATAACATTCTGAAGAAGAAAACTTCAATAATTTCAGTATACGAAAAGGCTAAAACAACAATGGGTATATTTGTAAATGTTATCCCCGTAATAATTGTTGCTCCGACTTTGACAATTGCGTCTGCGACTCTTTCGGACGGTGGACGACTACTGGTATTATAAGCATATGCCAGATGACTGCAAAATTCAACCGTTATACCGATAGCTACAATCAGATTCGTACAAGACACGGCATTTAATTGTATATTCCACATGTACATTATCCCCATCATATCCAGTACCACCATCACCACTGTGAACATCATCGCTATCGTCGTCATGAAATTAAACCCAGTAGCAAGTAGATTAATAACAAATGCCCCAAGAAGACAATATCCTAAAGAAACAAACGTGTCTCCCCAGGCCGTCAAATATTGCGAATAAAACACATAGAAAACTGAATAAGCGAACACTTCGACGTCTTGGCCTGTGTGTTTTTTAATGGCATGTGTGATATTTTCACTAATTTCATAACCGTACTTCACGGCGGATATATAATCGTGCGATGTCTTCAAAGAAGTGTGATAAGCCATGAAGTTGGTGTCGTGGACCGTCGCTCGTCCTTCAGAATCTAGCACGTAATTGACATTGGAGTAATAACTGGCAAGACCACCTTTATTGCACGTGTCAGTTGGAGCATCTTGTAAGAAGAAGGGAAAATATCGATCGAAGCCTTCGCTGCCTGGACGCAAGCCATTAGCATATTCACTTCTGGGTATAGTGCAGAACTCACATTCAGATTCTGTGGCAGTACTGGGACAAAAACTGCCATCTGTCGTGTTGTATTTGCAACATAAGTTGGGTGAACTTGCCCAATCGAAGAAGTCATCGAGCCACGAGTTAGACATTCTTCCCATATATGTGGTGTCTTTCTGTTGAGCGGCCAAGAACAACTGCATAGTTAAGGAATCATCACGGCACATTTGACCACCACATATGACATTCTGGTGTTCCGGATTAGAGAAATTCAGACCGCTTTTCAATACAAAGAACACTGGAGGTCCAAGCTGTAATATTTCGTTCACAGCATTGAGGTATTTATATACATAGGAATCTGTCGGCAATGCAAGGTTTTGATCTAAGCCTACTTCTATATGTGGAATCATAACTACACAGCATGACAAGAAGACCATAAATATTATAGCAACAATAACTTTGACACGCCAATTTAGGATAAACTTTGAGTAGGGTTCCATGAGCTTTTGTGTCACGCTTTCGTAAGGTGTTTCAGAGTGTAAAGGATCCTCGTCATTAAGAATTTTGCGTTGAACGCAGCACAATAGATCGAATCGATTCTGAATCGACCGCTTGTAATCGAGTGATAAGATACCGATTATCGCTGTTATTTGGAAGACGAACAGAAATGCCAAAGACACCGAAGCAAATATAGCAAACGATCTTACGGCTGGAAAATTCGCAATGCTCCCTATAGCGAAACAGGTGATTTGTGTTAAGGATGAGACGAACATGGAGGGGCCCTCATTCTTCATCATTTTACCAAAAATATAACTACGTTTTTTGTCAAAACTCATATCCTCTTTGTAATCTTCAAACTTATCTAGATTTGTTTGAATGTAGTGTAAGGAATTTATCATTAAGAAAACATTATCTATTCCCACCGACAGAATAAAGAATGGAATGACATTGATCGCGAGTAGAGTTACAGTAACTTTTATATAACCCAATAGGCCCATTGCACAAAATATTGCTAATAGAACAACTACGATACTTGTAATAGCTACAGTTATTTTACTATCAAGGAAAAACGTTTTCAATCTCCTTAGGTTTCCGAGAGCGAATATAACATATAGAAACATAAGAACGTAACTGATAGCTACGGGTACAATTTCCGCCTGAGAAATCCTTGTTATTTCATCTTCGATTGATCTCTCTGCAGCAAAAGCAACGTCGACGAAGTCAGACTTCCAATTTTGTTCGTAATCGTGCATTAAATCTATAAATTTCTGTTCCCACTCCAGTACTGGTTTTAAATCCTGTTTTAGCAAATGATTTGATATCGGAAAATTGATTAGAAGTGTATGTGCATCAAAATAATTTTTATCTACGAAACCACCAAGAGCTAGCTCAGGATCCGCGCCTCCTCCCCACGATTGTAAACAACTTAGCGAGAGATAATTGTTTAAACAGTTTTGTATACTCGATAAGTATGTATTGTTGTTTACCACTCGGCCTGGGATGTACGCGGATACAGACATAGATACACAATCTGTTATTTTTTGTTCATCGCCGCGTTTTCTTAGTGGTGCATAGCAAACATTTTCCAATCTGACGGCCCCTTCCACATCCCTTCCGATATTCATGATTGCGTCTTCCAATTTTATTAATTCCTCTATAGCTTCAACTCTAAAAGCCGGTCCATACGTTTTATTGCCAACTTGAAACGGCTCCAAGCCTTTCATTGTCAAATATATTTGAGCTGCTCTGTAAAACGGTCCAAATCTCGAATTGAAATAGTTCAAATTTATACGAGAAACAGAATTGGGGTCTGACCAAAGTTCCAAAGGGTTGGAAGTAAGCTGCAGTTGCGCAAGACCAAAGATCATTGCAAAAACAACCCAAGATGTAAACATAAACAGCATAATTGGATTGCTTGAGCTGAATATTCCAATTTTTTCGAAGATGCTCTGGAAACCCCTGGTTATTGCATTTATTTCGTTAACTTCGTTCGGCGCTTTCTTGTTTATGTTCCGCGCTTTCCTTTTATATTCAAATAGCGCCAATACCACGAAAACAGTTACACTGATCACGCCAAAAGTTATAGCTATAGAAAAACTTATGCAGTTGATAGATAACACAGTGCATATAGGTGGAACATATATCTCACCGGCGGGACAGTTTGCAGAGCAATCCATACAGCTGCAAGGTAAATCTCCTTCTTGGGTTTCTTCACATAGGGGTGCCCGGACGTTCATGGAATCTTCTGTACTATTGACTCTTAGGAAGTTGACTCGAAGGGAAACGAAGGGATTATTATCAGGGTCGCCTGTATAACCCAACCAAGCATCAGCATCGCATACAGGAGCGTTCCCACACATTAAGTTGATGGCAGGCATTCCTGATTGTGGCACGACCACCTCTGAGCAGGACTGAAATGCATTTATCATGAAATCATGGTGGAGTCTGTAATTTACTTCATTCACGAACACTGTTCCTTCGTTATTCCTCTCAGTATTTACATTCACGAATCTAGCTTGGTCTGGAGAACAATTCAACTCGCAGATTTGCCGCCCGAAATTCTTTAAGCACACGGGACAGCGTCCCAGCACGGTATCAGACATGAGCATGCTTTGAGAGAACCTTTCTATTTGAACTGGATCACAGCACGTTAGTATTTGGTCGTCTTCCAATTGATTTCCATCTTCATCGTAAACTAAATGAGGACATCGCTTTATGAGGTGGTCGAAGATTCTATCGCGGTCCGTGGAGGTGAGATTTGACAGGATCGATTTTGGTTCTTCGTCAACCGCACAGGGTTTAATGTTTCCATTAGTATCCGTACAATCGCCGCGCATAACACATCTCGCGGCCACAGAACTCAAAACGCACACAACGGTACATAGAAGCAAATAGCACTTCATTTTTGTGTCAATAATGAATTCAATATATTTTTCTCATTTCAATACATAATGCGTGGATGTCCGTCCTCACTAGCGTAAACTAATATTCGAAAGGGCTACGAAATACAGGTACAGTCATTCGATAACATATCACAAATTAACGCAGGTGCGAGATAAAACATAATGTTTAATCTTTCTAATCGAAGACTTTTGAATTGTAGCATGGTAATTAAAAATTAGATGTTTTGTAGGTAGAAGTCTGATCAACTGAAAAAAATGCAGCTATGAAAATCATATATAAGCACATTTTGTCACTAAAACGGTTTTTATGTCTAATTCATTATAAGACACGCTAGATACGTTACGATGTATATACGAATTCGTCAGTTTTCTTAATCTTTGTAAATACGTGTCTCTGAAACTCAAGAAGGGTTGGGAAATATGCAAAAATTACGAGGGAGATTTTAATAACAATTACATTTTCTCATATGAATTGTTGATCTAGGCTTTTGTTAGTTGCGCCAGGTCATTTACTACGGTATAATTAAATCTTCATTACACGTGGTTGACGACAGGTCACGTGTGTAAGAGATAGATTGGGTCTGAATCGATGTCTAGGGAAATCTAGTTGGGTGTGTGTAATTGATACTGGAGGGGTGTGCATGTTCTCATGCTAATAGCTAATTAGAATGGGATGGGGTGTTGAGGCTAATGCTAACGCACACGATTAGTGGCCAAAGTTGTAAATCTACTCAAAGAGAGGCAAGCGATAAATAAATTGACAAATACCATATCATAAAGCAAACTGCTCAACTGACAAGTCTTAAGTTAAGATCCCAAAGGTAAGGTGATGAAAAGAAAGAGTGAATTATAAAATAGATAATATGATGTGATTACCTAAAAAGAGATTTTAAAATAAGTCATTGTTATCTTTGTTTAAAAACATATAAAGGTTATAAATTGTTTTTTAATCTTGAGTAACTTTGAATAGCGTCGTAAACACGCATACATTAAGAATTACTAGCGACATCTGTAATAGTATATAAGGTAACCATTATTAATGAACACAGCGCTCTCTGTGGCGTAGTAGCACAATTGCGTTTGAAAAAGTATTAACTTATAACATTTCATAATGCTATTGCAGCTTTTGCTACCTGATACGAGATGGCATGATAAGAAAAATATTATTTTTTATAAATTTTACGTATATGGAAGTATGATTATTTGGTTTTTACACCACACTAATAAAATATTAAAATATATTATCTTAAGTTGAATAACTATTTTTAACTAAACAAATTGGTCTCATTAAAAGTTCAATTTTGAAGAGTTGCTAAAAGATTTTATATGATTATATCATATTTATATAATAAGTACAGTTTTGCTTCCTAATTATGAATACTCGTAAATAAATAAACATGACTCTGAACTTTATCAACCGCTGCCAGAATTCATGGTCGACGAAGTAGATAAACAAAATTCGCAACCAGTGCCAACTTCTGCAGTTACAGCAGGTTCTGACGTCACGGGTTACTAATTTTAACACAAAACGTGTCCATTTTTACATTAGACATACATTTTTGAGCTGTAAACACTTGAAAAATGTACTTGGCTCGCTATAAACTGAAACTGTAATTCCGATAACGGGCGTGGAAATTAATTTTCCTCATAGAAAATCGTGAGGTAGGTAAGTAATACCTATTTATAGCAGTCGATATGTTGTTGCAGAAAGCAACATTATACAAAGATAATTCGCTCACGATCTGTAAACTGATTTAATATTATATGGCAACGAAGCGAACATTAGGTAGGTACGTCTGTAAATTCCTGTATAATTTTTAAGCGACACAACGGCGCCTGAACTTCTTCATTGTCGGCTGTCACAAGATGTGAATTTTTCCTTTGATTTTTCGCTTCTTTCAACACCAGTATGACAAAAAAATTTCTTAAATATACGATTAATTTGAACTTTAGTAGAAGTGAATATTTTTAATTAGTACATACTTCATCCACTTATACAGTTTTCCGTCGTAAAACGGGAAATGTGATGATACCTAGCGCTTATGGAAATTACCTTACACAAACTCGCAACAGTCACCATTGCCCATACTTACCTGGCTGTGTCACGTTACAAAAGGCACGTATTGAACCTCGATGGAAAATCCCCACACAGCGGTACTCAATAGTATAATATATCTAACATATAGTCATCTATTTTCAGCCATTGTTTATATTTTTCATTAATAACAAGACAATTATCTAGTCCAGAAACTTGATAAAGTCAAAAGCATTTAGAAGTATAATTTACTAAGTAATTTAAGAAATTAATCCATATGTAATACTTAAGTGTGTTATAAAAATCTACTAGTATTTAATTAATAAAATAAGTTACTAAAAATATAAACATTGCATTTTAACTTATCTATATCTAATATGCCCTATAAAGGAAATTAATGACAACGTAACGATGACTTAGGTATCGCCTTTTAGAGAATTAGAGTTTGGACAAAGTTTATACCTATAAAATGAGAAGAAATAAATTTATGGATATCGAAAAAACACAGTAAACAATAAGATATTTATTTCAGCAATGAAATATAAACTTTATAGCCAAGAATAATTTGAAAGAAAACTGTAGCCAAGCATGTTTATGAATATAACTGAAAATATTTATTCAATCCTTTCTCGAAGGCAGAACGCTTTTATCAATTGGATGGCTATTGAGAATTTCGTTTAATCATATTGTCTTCGTTTAACTAAATTGTCCTAAATAACATTACATCACCAGTTTCAAGGTACACTCTCCTACCAATAATAACTAGTATAATAAAAAACTTACAGACTTATAATGAGATATATTAACTAAACGACTATGTACTTATACATACGATGTAACATTAGAATTTGTATGTTCTATTGAATAGTTTTACCAATCATAAACGGTTTGAAAACTCAAAACACCAACTGTCTAAGTTCTCTTACGTGTCGCATTAAAGAAATGTCACATTTGTATCAGGAGTCAGGACTTGTGCAATTTAGCAAAGAGAATCGATGGAAACGACTCAATATGTCATTATAGACACAATGACTCGTTTATTGTTTATTTATACTCGGCGTTATCTACATTATCAGACATTAACCTTCAAGCACGTGCTCGTAGTAGAGTATTTTGTTGGATTTAAAGCTGTAGCTCTGCATCAAGAATGCAAAATCTACTCCATTCAAGTTCTAGAGAAAGACAGCTAACAAAAATCATTTGCTTGACGACTGAGAAGTATACATAGCTGAGAGCTATTCGTAAAATAGCACGTTAACTTGATCGCGCGAGCGAGATAGCTAAATAGAAAACTCATCGGTCAGAGCAGTGCAGAATAGCTAGGTCAGAGCGTCTGCGTCGATTAGGAGGGACAGAGAAGCGTATATGTGGCGGACAGTGTGTTAGAGCGGTAGAGAATATAGTTACATGCTTTAGGATGGAAATTTCCACTGCCAACGATGAAACATTAAGGATGTGTATATTTATATCGACATATTAAATAAATTGCTTTATTCTATTGCAACACGTAGGAATCCTGGAAGGAATAACAAATATATAAAATAAATAACTTTATGTTTAACACAAATTTTCAACTATATACTATGACGTTATTTTACAACAACTTAAATCGATTTTTTTATTAAATTTTTTATTTATGTATCACTAAAGCTAATTTGTTTACTTCTTGTATTTATATGAACTTGTAACTAGAATAAATATTTGGTCAGGTACATTTTATTTTCTTTTTGTTCCTCCATATTCTTAATTTAAATACTTTTATCGATATCGATAACCAAATGACCTCGTCGGCGCATCACTGCAGACAGAGGCAGTGTGTCGCTGGCTGTTCGCGCAGCGCAGCCCGACGGTCTCAAGCAACCGTGAAACTTGCATAATTGCTTTAACGGTCAATTCCGTTTAGCTCAAGCGAATTTTGTTCATAAACAAAATGCTCAAAATTATAATAAATTTCGGAAAATAAAGTAGCAAAAACTATAATTTTTATATTATTACACCTAATTGCATATTTCTTACCTCGCATAACCATACCTATTTATTTTATTTAATAACCTATTTGCAATACAGGACAAAGTACTTGCGGGTAATAACCTAGCTACAACGTGGATATTTCTATTAACCATCATTCCAAAGTCATTTTCAAGAAACAGAATAGTTTACAATAATTTATACCTACTTAGTAAAGAATAATAATTAGTACTAGTAGGTAATAGCTTAATATTTAGTTATACTTAGATAATAGTTATACAAGTCAACTTGTAAGACTGTAAGTGATTATAATCAACAATATGCATTTGAAACAGTATTGAAATGCAATACCTATTAATTTTAGCGTTGATTAGCCTTATCAATACCACAAACCATATTTATACGCATTCGATTAACATAGGTCTGTAATTACTTCAAGACAAAAAACTTATACAAGACGGTTTAAAACGCGAATTTGAACACACCACAAATTTTTAAATTTATGATAGTTGTTTTAAAAAATCTCGTTTTCAACCGTTAAAAGTGTGCCTCTAATGAGTATTACTCGCTTAAACTACAGACAATATTTAAAGTTCGTTAAATAGTTCAATAAATGACGCAACTTGTTAATAACGGCGCGTGCGTCGTCATATTGTCAATGATTATTACAATGCAACTTTGACGTCAATGTTTAACGGTGTCTTGTCTAATTCAAGTAAATAGTTGTGCAATTTATGAGGAATCATTTGGAAACTCTATTATTACAGAACTCTACATGTCTTCATTAATCGGATTTTCTTAAATTATACAAAATTCTTATACTTCTATGACATTGAGGCAAAGGAAGAAAGAGGAAGTATTTCCTCCTACCCAAATTTCTCAGTATGATAAGCTGTCTACCTATTTTTGGCTATTTAAAATGTAGGTAAAACATACACAGTTAAAAAATGAAGTATCTTGAATACCAAGTTTTACCAATACTGACAGTATTTATGTA